CTGCCTGACTCTTTCCCTATTTCCGATGTTTGATTACTTTGATTTTATTATCTTATGTCTTTTGATTTTGTGTTCCACACAACACAACACATTACTTATTCTCTTCTTGTTAAAAGAAGAGATCCAGGTGGATTTGGATCCTTTTTTTTTCCCTTAAAATTAAAAGTTTGTATAGATCCTCAAAACCAATTCATGTTAGATCCTGTTTCCCATTTGTTACCTTTATTATTATTGTTGTTGTTGTTGTTGTTATTATTATTATTTTTGGTTTGGAGTACACTAATTTGTAGCTTGTTTACTGTTATATCCATGCACCCTTGACACATTGTTGTTGCTTCAATTCCGAACCTTATTTTCATAAAATCAAAACAAATGCTTTTTTCTATTTTTTTTTCTTCCTAAGTTGCTTTTCACTAATACTTGTAGGTACAGCCTAATGATAAATCCACATCTCTATTTTAATCTTGAAGTTCAGAGTTTGCCAAAAAAAAAAAAATTTGCTTTTCACTTATCTTATTTATCATATTAATTAATTAACCTCATTGTATCATTTTGTATCCTGCATGTTAAGCTCCAAATTTGTTTGTAATAGTTTTCGTCTGAGCTCCTTACTTATATATAGTTGGCGAGATAAACTCAAATCAAACTCATTTTTATCCGGATAAGATTATTTTATTTTAATTGTGGTAGGAACCAAACAAAAATATCTCCTTAAAGAAAATGGAAAGAAAGAAATATGATTAAACAAGTCTCATATTCCTATATCATTATTGTTTCATTACCATTAAAAGCCTAATGATTCTTGTCTTTACCATCAAAAGCCTAATGATTCTTGTCTTCATTAGAGGTGTTATCTACTATTAGATTTTTTTTCGAATATTATATATAATGTTTACTTTTAAACTCCCAATTTAGCATGTCTTTAGTTTAACAATGTTATCAATCCGTCCATTTTATAGTTAATAAGATAATATCATTTGAGACGTACTCTATGCCATTCCATTCGGGTAGTTATGAATTTGTTAGTTGTATAACTGATTTTAACTTTCAAAGGTGGTTAACAAAGAATAAGAATGTTATTACAGATTATTTTATAGATTTTTATATATTAATTAAAATGGTATTAATTAAGAGTAATAAAACTCTTGACCCGTGCATTTAGTAATTCCCTCATCTAATAAACAAAAGAGAAGGGGGGGTGGAGATAGGCCCACTTTGAGAACTCTAATGGGCTAGATCATGGCCTTAAAGTCTAATATGACATAGCCACTACATGAAAATGGTCCTGGGAGTCTCAGAAAAAAGGGGGTAAAAATTATGGTCCCTGGAGGTGGGGGTGAAATTTTCCAGATTTGTCTTCCCCAGTTTACTTATTTCTTGGTTTGATCAATTGTCACATCAAAATGGATGGACCAACTTACTAGGATATAAATAATATCTTATGACATTGTAGAGGAAATTTATTTTTTCAGGTGAGAAGCAGAATATGTAATAACTATAATTGCACAAACGAAGTTGAAAAAACATTCACAACGAAAAAATTTAGTAGTTAAAGCAGAATCTCTATGCCATTCCATTCGGGTAGTTATGAATTTGTTAGTTGTATAACTGATTTTAACTTTCAAAGGTGGTTAACAAAGAATAAGAATATTATTACAGATTATTTTATAGATTTTTATATATTAATTAAAATGGTATTAATCAAGAGTAATAAAACTCTTGACCTGTGCATTTAGGCTCCGTTCATTTCGCTGATTCGAGTTTAGAATTTGAGTTTTTCTACAGTAAAAAGCTCTCACAAACAATCACATCTAACTTTTTTATTACAGTAAAAAGTTCTCACATAAAGTCACATCTCAACTCAAATTAAAAACTCGAATCAACAAACTAAACGGACCCTTAATAATTCCCTCATCTAATAAACATAAGAGAAGGGGGGGGTGGAGATAGGCCCACTTTGAGAACTCTAATGGGCTAGATCATGGCCTTAAAGTCTAACAGTACCACTTTCCAACTTGCGTATGACATAGCCACTACATGAAAATGGTCCTGGGAGTCTCAGAAAAAAGGGGGTAAAAATTATGGTCCCTGGAGGTGGGGGTGAAATTTCCAGATTTGTCTTCCCCAGTTTACTTATTTCTTGGTTTGATCAATTGTCACATCAAAATGGATGGACCAACTTACTAGGATATAAATAATATCTTATGACATTGTAGAGGAAATTTATTTTTTCAGGTGAGAAGCAGAATATGTAATAACTATAATTGCACAAACGAAGTTGAAAAAACATTCACAACGAAAACATTCAGTAGTTGAAGCAGAATTTATCTTTCCCCAAAAAATAAAAATACATTTAATTACCAAGTGTTCAGAAAGCTGAAATATCATGATAAGCTATTATCAGCAGAGTCACCACTCCTTAGAACAGGGCACTATGACTTTAAAGATGATACATTAAAAATTTTAACAATATGTTTCTATCGAAAGAATGTTAAAAAAAAAAAAAAAAAAAAAAAAAAAAACGTTTTTCCCCTCTTATAATAAAGGGGAAAAAAAAGGTTTTTTTCCCCTCTTATAATAAGGATAACAATGCGTATTTTAAAAATATGTGGTCATATATACTATGGTGCCAAAACAGACATCTCTAGCATTAAGGTTCTAAATTCAAATCTCTCACCTTAGAAAAGCCAACAGAAAAATACAACTTAAAGTCCATATTTATAGAGCCGGAATTGCATTCACCGGTCCATGCGATGGAGGGCGATTCCTCAACTACCATCCGGGGATGTGAGGGAGTTTTTGTTTTCCAAACAGATGGCGGTGTTTGGTTGTTGACGCCTCAAATCGAGTTTTTGTTGCAGCATCCTATAGTTTACACCCTACATTGCTAGTTGGAATTTGGGAATTCTGAAATTTGGATCATATCAACGCAATACACAAAACATGTATTTGTTGCCTGAATTTGGATCATATTAACACAAACCCTGAATCTAAATCTGCTCACAGCAATTTATTAAGCAACTAGGAGAGATTTTTGCATATATATAATAAGAAAAGAGATAACATGTTACGTTATAGCCTTACAAGGCTATTGCTATGTTTTCAACAAAAAATGAAGGCAAGAGATTTTTGTGGCGTTTAATCTATATCAGGACTTTACACAGATTTAAACAAGACACTTATATTTGGCATTAAACATTTGCCTTTCCAGAACTTTAAACATGCTATAAAATTAGGAGTTTCTCTCTGGTTGTTACATCGAATTATCTCTGGTTGCTAAAGTATAATCATTATAATAGGCCAACAATACGAAATCTTTTGCAGTAAACAAAATTTTCCTTTAGAATGAGAAACGTATGAGAATATGTTCACAGATCTCACCATATATTCACCAAATAAATAAGAACGCCTTCGAACAGTGCTAATCTTCGGAACCTGCAAGTGTTGGAGATTCATCTTATTAGTTTGTTATGTTTCGTTAGCAGATCAAATAAAGTGAAAACGGAAGTAGGTAATTGAAATTACAAAAGAGCATTGCAATTGGGCTCTTGCAACTCATAGGGGTGGGCTGCAGACATAAGCATATGGGTTGAATTAGAGGAGTACCGCTTTTAGAGAGAGCATCTTTCAATATACCCGCTTCCGTGGAAAGATTTGAGCATAATTTACACTTAAAAAGTGGTATGTATGAATAACTAGGCTTCATAAGTGGTATCTAGCCTAATTGGAGCCACCTTTGTGTGATGCACGCTCCAAAGCATTTTTCATTACAAAATGTATTCTTATAAAGCATGAATTGGATAGAGACAGGTATAAATAGTGAAGTACTAATCGGATAGAAACCATATCAAGAAAAAGGCATCGAATCATCATTATTTCCATAAACAAACAATTTTGTCAAATCTTTGGTACTCTAGTTACAGTAAGAGTATGGTGTAACGTAAATATTCTTGAGACTGATCCAAAAACTTTTATTCTAACTGCTCCCCACTATGTCTCACTTTGCCTTAATGCCATTGTTTACATATCGTTTCCCATAGTTTCATAAAGACAGAAGAAGAAGTAAATCATGGCTACACTTTAAAAAAGTCATGTTTATTGCTTGTGGAAATAAATTGACTTTCCATAGAAACCCAAAACCTGCCACCTAAGGAAGCCTCTCCGCAATAGCATCATGCTGCGATGTCTTTTACGGGTTGTGATTTGCAAAGATGTTTGAATATTTCAGTTAGCAGTTTCAAGCCAATCCATAGGAGGAAAAAAATGTGGCAAGGCGTGAACTAAAGCACAAGATTGAATAGCTTGAAGTCAGCCTAAAGGAAAACAAGATCATGGGAAAGAAAGGAAAAATTTGAGGTACCAAAGGTTCCCTGACTTGAGCCAATATTTGGGCTCAAATAATGCTAGAAGAATTACATGTTTTTAACCAAAAACATTATACCACATAACACTTGACTTTCTTAACTTTCTCATTTTTGACCGAAATACCCAACTTTCTTGATTATCGTCCTTAAAACAGCTCTTATTAGCTACCAATCTTCAAAACCTTCTTTTAGTTTCCATCACCATTTTCCTCCAGTCTCATACCATAATTCGGCTACAAGCCGAGCCACTTTACTCTTTATTCCGCTCATGTCCATAATCTAGCCTTTAAGAACACAAACTCTAAGTTCTAAGGCTTTATAACCATTTATATATACAATCTGATCCAAAGGGTGTCCTGCTCTAATCAAATGTAGAAGCAAATAACCGGAAAAACATTATAGGCACACAAGAATATAAATCATAGAAAATACCACACAAGTTCAACTAGTAACAGTTGTTCTAGAGACCAGACAATAAGTAGTTCAACTCAGCATACCTTTGTCACCCTTGAAAAAGTTTTTGTGAAATTCCCTTAAACTTGCCCAAACAGATTTACTGTGGAGAGGCAGCAAGCTCTTCACATCAAATGAATTTAATCCTTCTTCCAAGAGCAATTTTTGCTTAAAACTAGTCAATCTTCCACTAGCTTCTCTTTGCAGATCTGAGATGTGAGGTACAGTTATAGTCCAGCCATCTCTAGCAACATTCTTTGAGGAAAAGAAACCATTCGATTTCGCAATGTCCAGTGCACCACTTCTTGCTGCCATAAAGGCTGTAAAATACTACATCAGATTCGGGCATTCAAGACTACTGAATATGAACATTGCTTGGAAAAGGAAAGGCAAGGATCCAAAATTCCTAAAGAACAAGAATACAATGCTCACTATCTAATCATGTTAAACATGGAAAATCTTCCTAACTTTCAAATCACCACGCAAATCATATAGCTAACTGAAAAGAGGGCAACAAAATTCTCTACCATTGTAAGGAACTGCAAAGAGATAATTTGCAGGAAGACCAACACCAAAACCAGCTAGAGTGAAGCCCACACTAAATCCAACACCACAGCCAGCTCCAACGTAACCGATCACATCAGGGCCAAAACCGGGACCCCATCCAACTCCACAACCAATCCCTATCCCCATACCCGAAAACGCTCCATATGTCGGATGCACAGGGTTCCATCTTTCATATCTTCTGAACAACCCTTTTATAATCATTATGACCTAGGATCAAAGATGAGCGAGACGTTATAGCATTAACCAAAATTACCAAATTAAGGGTCAGTTTGGAATGAGGGTTCAAACCATGAATCTTTGGGTTTGAACCATGTGGGTTTTGAATTGTAAGGTTTGAACTTGGTGTTCAAACCATGAATCTTTGGGTTTGAACTATGTGTGGTTTGAACTATGTGTGGTTTGAACCTGTGGATCAAACCAGTCAAAACCAAGGGGAGTGGTAGTTTTATATTTTGGGGTTTAGAATGGTTAAAACATCACATTAGTGTTCAAACTTTGAATCTTTTCTTTTAAAACCAAATGCTGGTTTTGTTGAACTGGGTTCAAACCACTTTTTACTTTTTACAAACAAACACTGGTTTGAACCTAAACCACAGTTCAAACCTTGAGAACCTCCATACCAAACAAACCCTAACAAACACACGTGTGCGCGCATGTACAAGAAAAGGTAAAAAAAATATGGATCATCAACCACGACGAGAGTTTTTTATTTTTATTTTTTTGACACAAGCACTAATTTCAACAGCAATACTCTGCATCTCTGGTGAGTTACCAATTTCTTTTTTATTTATTCATTTTTTTATCTGGATGATATGAGAGAATTAATGTCATAAGGCAGAAAAATGGTAATCAGAAAAGAGGAGACATCCATCTCCAAGAGATTTGTATCACAAAAGTTTTGGATGAGAGACATTTGCAGTCTCCCACGAACTGGAAAACTACCAAAAAGGTAAAGTAACTTGATAACTGATGTCACCTCCATTTCTATGAACTAAGTACAAAAAACCCAACCTCCACTCCCTTGACAAACATAATTGTGTGTATCTATTGTGTTATATTATTAATAGTAGATCATGAATGTCAAAGTACCCTATCAAAAACTCCAAAATCACTAACCACCTAGTCAACTATCCACCTATCTAATTAACTAACATGCTAGCATAGCTTAAGGTGCTTATGTTTATCCAATCTTGTGCAAAGAAGCAATTCTTGACCTAACCTGTATCACCCAGTGTTAAAACAGATCAATGATTTTCAATGCAGAGGTATCAATAATCAGTAAAAGACGGCTGACATATTATTTCTAATATCATTTCCGTTAGCAGCAATATAAGCTCAGAAAATCAGCAGCTTAAAAATTCAGCAGATTTAACACAATGGAAACCTGATACTGAATCCTGTCCCCAGCCTATTCTCCGATTATAATCCCAAATTCAGTAGATGGGTGACTCGTAACTCCATTGGTGTTATGTTATAGTACATCAGTCTCTAGATTTTCAGTTACCTTGTCATGGAAGTATTAAAAGTCCTTAGAGGCTCCAACATACACGGTATATCAAAAAGAAAACGCAAATGATCTTGAAATGCAAAACCAATGTTAGGGACCTATTACGGGGGTCGATAACAACCGAAAACTCCACCTAGTGTATGATGATTTGTCTGTGTTAGCACGTCACCAGTTTCAAAACTCATGCCATACACTTCAAATTTCTGCGGTTAATTCAATATAAGTTTTCAACCACTAAAACAATGATGACACAGACTTATAACACTCAACTGTTTAAAAAAAAAAAAAAAAAAAACCTTCTCTTATTGTCATCTTTCAAAACTCCCCTCTAGTGCTATTTAGAATCTAAACTAACTGCCAAACCATCTCCTTCCATAGAGCATACATATACACACACATTATTTGCAAACGAGTTCGTGCATTCAAGTAAGTGATTTTGAACATGAATTCAAATTTTGTGAGAGAATCTATTGTTGGCAGGACTTTTTATATTCAAAATTTTTGTGAAAGAGAATCATGGGTTCGAGTCAGTGAACCAAACGGGCACTATTTACGTTCTTTTTCAGATGTTTCACGCAAACCAAACACTTTAAACTGTTCGATAAAATGATAATGAATTAAAACAATCTACAAGAAGTTAGTATAGTGTAAAAAAGCAATAAATTAAGAAAGAAGAATTGACCCAGAACAGAAAAGAGAATGTTACACCACAGTGACGGAAACAAAAAATCAGAATAAGAATAACAAAAGGACAATGATGATAAAAACAAGAACAGCATTGTAAATAGAAAATATACCAGTCTTCTGCCTCACTCTCTCTTGTCTTGTGTTTGTTCTGCAAAATGGGTGGTTTTCGACTTGGCTTAATCCTTTGGGTCTGTTCTGCAATGTTTTGGAAGAGAAGAAGTGAAGGGGCTCAGTGACGGTGTTGTGTGGATGAAGCTGGTGGTGGGTCATATGTGGAGAAAATCGTAGCCGCCTGATTGCGATAGTTTCTAAAACAGAGGACATATGTGGCTGATGGAAAAGCAGGTTTCTTTCGCCTATTGGTTCGTTTTTTCTTTTTATTTTGAATTATTTTCATTTTTGAACCTCGAGTAAAGGTGTTTCTCAACACCCGTGCTTATTCACTTCGCGGATTTGAGTTTTCAATTCGAGTTGAGATGTGACATTTTTAAGAGCTTTTCACTGTAGTAGAAAAAGTTAGATGTGACATTTTCTAAGAGTTTTTTACTGTCAAAACCTAAAATTAAAAATTCGAATCGGTGAAATGAATGAGACCTTGAAAGATCAATTTTTAAAAATACTCGTCAAAATAGAACCACTTTTATTTTTATCTTTTAAAATTAATTTATATATTTTTATTTTTAGATTAAAATTAGTAAAAAAGTATAGTTTTTTTTAAAGAGTTATTTTTAGTAGGTCGAGTACTTAAAAGGTAGAATATATAATTTTCTATTTTTTAAAAATAGTATAAATCAACTAACGACTCACATTTTAAGGTCCGTTTGGAAGATATACTCAAATTATGATTTGAGTTTATTAACATGAACCTTTTGTAAGAGAGAAAATTTTAAAATTCAAACTATATGTAAGATAAAAACACTGTAGCAAAATCATGATTTGAGTTTGAATATATCTTCTAAACAAACCCTTAATATGTGATGCTATCAGTTAGAGGGGTAAGCCCGGTGGCCCAAAGAGAAATTTCAGGGTGGCCTGGCCCGATCCTAAAAGAGAGAGGGTCCGGCTAACCCGGTCCTAAGCCTAAAAAGTTTAGGGTCGGTCCGACCCGGTCTTAAAGGAGAGAGGTCGGTCCAACCCGACCTTAAGTTCAAAAAACTTAGGGCTGGGCCGGACCAGGCTCAGGCTAACAGTAGCGAGTCTCAGACCGGCCCATTTAGCCCGGTCTAAACTTGCAACTCTACTATCGATACTTCGTGGGAGCTCTCTTTCTATTTCTCGATGACAAGAGAGCTCCCATGAGAAACTAACGTTCTTTCGTGGTCTACCCTGTGAACCACTCACTCCAGATAGTTAATCGCACATTAACTCCAGTATTAGAATGTTTTATTCAAAGTCAGTGTTATTTTTGAATTTTTTTAGGGTTTTGAACAAATCCTTCATGCGTTTATGAATACAATTAAAAATATTTCAATGAGCTCTCTAAAATCCAAATATTTGAAACCTACAATCATTCTTTCTTAACATCTATGCAACATTTAGCCTCGTTCATTTCACCGATTCGAGTTTTCAGTTTTAGGTTTCTACAGTTAAAAGCTCTTAGAAAATATCACATCTAATTTTTTCTGCTACAGTTAAAAGCTCTCAGAAAATGTTACATCTTAACTCGAATTGAAAACTCGAATCCACGAAGTGAACGGGGCATAAATCTTTAATACATTTTCTCCTCTAATTCAAGCTTCCTTCCTTTCCATCAAACTCATAATCCCTTTTTATTTAGATAGAAAAAGATAAACATTTCCCTTTTATCAAGCCTCCAAAATAATTAATTGAGAATGAAGTCGAATCAATTGGGCATGCTCTGTTTTGATGAGATGCTCCCTATGAGGTATGGCTAAACAACGCCATTTAGCATGAAATCCACTTACTCCGCTGATAACCGATCACACTCATTTTTTCTCCATACAACGTTCCCTTAATAAAGAACAGTTTGAGTTGTTTGGCATGCTCCTTTGGTTGGGGTGGAAAAATTGAGATGCATGGGTACATGATGGAAAGATCCAATCTTATGAGCAGATTTTGAGGTTTGGTAGTGTCTAGTTTGCAAACAACCAAATAGCTCAAGCTAGTATGGAGATGTCGGTAAGAGGGCAGTGGAATCTACCATTGCTGAGTAGACCGAAACTAAAGGTTGATGCCTACAGTTTTTAGAATATGGAGGCGATTGAAGTATGTGGTTTACGTGTTTGGTATGAGGATTCGTGTCATGATTTAAATAATAATTCGTGACTCGTTACAGTATTTTTTCTCACAAAAAAATACACGTAAATCGATAATTATTTTAAATCATAATTTTAAATTCATGAAATAAACGTTAACAATCTGCGATCACACGGGGTTTGTCCTTGGTATTTTTGCTAAAAAAGTAATGGGGCATTTTGGTTCACTTACTGTGGAGTGTCTAACTATCCGTGAGGGTATTATTTGTAATGGGGAGTGGGCTTTTTGTTAAAGACATTGAAAGTGATTCCATCAATGCAGTTAGTAAAGTCCAGGGTAAGAATTTGTTATTTGTGGCGTGTTCAATTATTTGGAGATACTGTACTTTTGTTAGATAAAATAGGCCGTGGTTCATGTCATCATCATGTTCCTCGATCTAGGAACTTGGGCATCTCATATGCTAGCTCGCCATGCGATTTCATCAATGCAATTAGCAAAATTCTGAATAACAATATGTTATTTGGGGATACTCTACTTTTGTTAGACAGAGTAAGTGGTGGTTCTTATCGTCGTTATGTTCCTCAATTTAGGAATTTGGCAGCCCATACGTTAGTTTTTTCTTTAATTTGTGACCAACTATGATCAAAGGAGGTCATGCTATTTATTTATTTATTGCATATTGTTGACGTAGAAACTCGTCAACAGAAATAAGCCGGGTCACCATTAGGTATCTCGTTAGATTACCGGCTTAATATTAACTGTATACTCGATATTGGCAGTGAAGTGTTTGTGACATTTTTTGTGTAATGAGCAATATAAGAAAAAATTCTTGAAGTAGAAAAACACACAAAATTTATAGTAATTCACTCTTATAAAATGAGAAGCTACATCCACTGTAATTTTTTATTCAGAATGAGATTGTTATAATTTACACCGTAAGTTGCTCTCTCATTCTTTTCTCTTAAAGAAAAACTAACCTCCCACACAAAATTTATAGTAATTCACTCTTATAAAATGAGAAGCTACATCCATTGTAATTTTTTATTCAGAATGAGATTGTTATAATTTACACCGTAAGTTGCTCTCTCATTCTTTTCTCTTAAAGAAAAACTAACCTCTTCCCTTTCCCACACAACACATATTATGACTGTTGAGTCTGTTGACTTCGCCAGATAATAAATTACTCCCTTAAAGAAAAGAAAAAATACACAAAATATTTATGTGTTTTTGTTAAAATACCACTTTCTGCTCTCGTAAATGCTCAAAACATCTTATGCATTTAAGAAAGAGGGCGTAAAACACCTCCGTTAAATTTTTAAAAATGTCATGATTATCTTTTCTATTTTATATTTAATGTTATTTTAAATATGATTTAACTAAAACTTTAAATAAATTTTTTTTAAAAGCTCAAATAAATATTCTAATCAAGGAAATACTTTAATTATTTTAAGAGTTTTCTATTTCTAAGGTTGATTTTATTTAACATTTTGGTTTAATAATGTTTTAAATTGTCTTTAATAAAGATTGAGAAGGATAAACTTAGGTTTTGTTCATTTCACCGATTCGAGTTTTCAATTTTAGGTTTTTACAGTAAAAAATTCTCAGAAAATGTCACATTTAACTTTTTATGTTACAGTAAAAAGCTCTCTAAACATGTCACATCTCAGCTCGAATGAAAACTCAAATCTGCGAAGTGAATGAGACCTTAGTATTTAAGAAAATTTAACTGCTACAGGAGGCCTTTTGGGTTTGTTTTTATAAATACATAGGATATTGAGTGTTGCATTATAAGATAAATGAAAGTGGTATTTTGACAAAACAGTGAGGTAGTTTGAGTATTATGCCTAAAAAAAAAAAAAAAAAAGCCTCCAAAAGAATCCCCAAACAATCGTCATTTACAAAATACGACTCGTCGTATACCCAAAAAGGTGCATAACACAAACGTGCCTTGCACGTGCCTCCAATAAAGGAACCTCTCTTTTTGTTCAACCCAAAAAAGCACCTGAAGAATGAAAGAAAGAAAGACGGAAGAAATAAGCGTCACCAAAACTGTCCATACCCCCCCTCTCTCTCTCTCTCTCTCTCTCTCTCTCTCGCCATGAGTCTCTTCGGTTTGGGCAGGCAAGCAACAATTTCTCTCTCTCTGTTTTTTTTTTCTTTTTTTTTTTTGCTATTATTGCATATTTCTCAGATTAAGCACACAAACACTTGATACCGTTTTTCGTTTTTCTGTTCCCACATCTCGTTCTGTGATCCTGATATTTTGCATTCGATCAATCCTATAATTAGAGGATTTTGCAAGATCAGTTATGATATCAGAATTTTGGATTTGGGTATTCTTTTCCGTGATCCATAATTTTTTCTGATATTCGGGATCTTTCTTTGGCTTTATTATTGATCCTTAATTACGAGTTTATTTCGCCATTTTTTGTTCTGGGTATTGATTATTCTCTAGGGGGTTCCAAATTCCACGTTTTTCTATTTTTATTTTTCTTTTCTATTGTTCTTTAATGAGAGAATCTTCACCTAGTTAATGTACCACTTTATTTGGGATTGAATTTTTAGCTTTGTATTATAAAGGGTGTTGTAGTTTTTGATGCATTGGGTCTGTTTGACATTGTTTTCTGGAAGTTGTTTTTGGCTTCCTGAATTCAAAAGCTGCTTCTCGTAGTGTTTAAAGAACCTTTTGAAAGAAATTTGGCCTTTCAGGAGAACTTCTAGTCGAAATCGCAAAATATGGCTTCTTAAATAAAGCTCCTTTGAGAAGATTTTAAAACTTGTAGCAAAGCTTTAGTATTTATAAATTTAGTTCTACTATTTTATTGCTTGTTGGAAAATTTAGGACATGTTCTTTTCACAACTCAAGTCACGACTCAAACGTTTTTATTTGAGAGAAAACATTGTAGCAAAAGAGTTAAATTTGAATTTTTCTGAGAGAAAACACTGTAATAAAAAGTTTGAGTTGTGAAAAGAATGAGGCTTTAGATGTCATTTTTTGTCTTATTTAGCGCTTTTGAAAAAACACATATACAGAGAAGTCATAGTTTTTTCTTCTCTTCTTTTACTGATAAAAGCATAAGCAAAAGCAATGCCAACAGGCTTAATTGTTAAATTAAAATTTTTCAGTTTGTACTTGAGGTTATGGTTCTATTCTTTCTTGTCTGATGTTTCAGAAGAAGTTGAAAAATGGGTGGTGATTTGATCTCGGAACAGTGAAGGAAATAGTGTAGAAAGTCTGGAAGGGAGTACGATATGCATACATGTAGTTGAAACTTAAAATGTAGTTGAATAAGATGTAGATTTGTGTAACATTTTATGTTTAGTGTTGCTGGTGGCTGTTTGTCACAATGTCTTGTTGTAATAATTTTAGGAAATTGGCTTTGGTCCTTAGTTTTCGGCACTTGAACTAGCGGAGAGGTCTTATGGATACTTTGGAAGTTTAAAGAGACATTGGTAATTGGTGATGGCCAGATGTTAAGATACTGATATCATGAAATTAATGGAGAGAATGAAATGTTTTAAAGTATCTGTAATTGCCATAGGTGACTGATATTTATTGTGAGAAACGGATGTGGAATGGTCCATGACTAGATAGAATTTGAGGTTGAGAAAGTTTGGTCATAACACGAAGTTGCTGCTATGCAAATCACTATTGTAAGAGGAATTAAGGTATTAAAAAAGGAAGAACATGTGTATAGGGTGTATGCTTATAGATTGCTGCTTCATGGTGATGCTTACCCTTGAACTTGGGATTTAGAACGTCAATTTTGATCCAAATTTCTGTAGTTTTCTTTTCTTAACTTCTCATATTACCTCAGTTCTTTAGTTCTTTTCTTGAATTTTGATGCCAAGGAAATTTCGGTGACTTGTCTTGTCTTGGAAATTGTTTGAGCAGAAACCAAAGAACATTTCGACCCAAAAAGAGTGCACCGTCTGGCAGTAAGGTTAGTTCGTTTATATAGTGTGCAATCTTTGTATATTTCCTGGGTAGAATATAATATTAATGTGCACACTTGTATTCAGTGCTATCAGTTTCTCTTAAAATTGCTTAATTTGGAACTTGTTCACTGATTAAGAAGCATACTTCACTAGTTGATAGTTTTTAATTATTTTGGTTCATTATAGATTCATACTTAATGTCGGCTCCTACTCAAGAATATTATCCAATTCAGGCTTAATTCTTTGCTAATATTGTGGTCCTATTTTGGTGCAGGGAGCTCAGCTTAGGAAGCACATTGATGCTACCTTGGGTAGTGGAAATCTTAGGGAAGCGGTAAAACTCCCCACCGGGGAGGACTTAAATGAGTGGCTTGCTGTTAACAGTCTCTCTCTCTCTCTCTCTCTCTCTCTCTCTCTCTCTCTCAGTTTCCCTCCTTTTTATGTGCACTTTCCCTTACGTGATTTCTTTATTTAGTTGGTACATGATTGCCTCCTTTCCTCAATTTGTTTATAGCAACTGATTCTGTGGAGTATATGTTTATGAATAATGCTGTTTGGGTTTTTGGATCTCAGCTGTAGATTTCTTCAATCAGGTGAATTTGCTTTATGGTACTCTCACAGAATTCTGTACTCCTGAGAATTGTCCTACAATGACTGCTGGCCCCAAGTAAGCATACTACATGAACAGCTTTAGCATTTTTTGTCCTTTTTTTCTGTGTTTATTTATAAGAGTGCAATTATGTGATGTTTTTTAAGTTATACTGGAGGCCTTGTTGGTTTGAACCAGCATGGATATCATTTTAATTTACTCTAAAGTGTTTGATGTTTTTCATAATTTTGAAGGATTTTGCAGAATTCCTTATCTTCTGCCCTTATACTTTACAGGTATGAGTATAGATGGGCTGATGGTGTACAGATCAAAAAGCCTATTGAGGTTTCGGCTCCAAAATATGTTGAATATTTGATGGACTGGATCGAATCTCAACTTGATGATGAATCCATTTTCCCTCAGAAACTTGGTATTGGTTAATGTTGTATCTTATTCACGTATCTGTTAATCTCCTCTTTCTTCCTTTTGAGATGATTTTTGTATGTGCCTTGTCTACTAGGTGCACCATTTCCCCTCAACTTCAGAGAAGTTGTGAAGACAATATTCAAAAGGCTTTTCCGTGTGTATGCTCACATATATCACTCTCATTTTCAGAAGATAGTGAGTCTGAAGGAGGAGGCTCATCTAAATACTTGCTTCAAGCATTTTATACTTTTTACCTGTGTAAGTTCTCTCTCCGTATCCCATTCTTATGCTGTATTGACTTGTTTAAATACTGATTTATTTTATGTTGACCCCGTATCAATATTTAGACTATTAATGTTGTATTTAAATATATTTTCTTTATCTATACTTTTAATCATAGTAGTAGGTTTTGCATTATTTTAAACTAAAATTTACCAATCTGAGCACTTATTCTTTGGATTTCTGTACCCCCGTCTATTAATCTTATTGTGCTTTTATCAGCGGTTGAAGTCGCCTTTTCTTGACAATAACCTTATGAAAAAAGTCACTTAGTGGTGAACCTCATTTGCACAAAATTGTTGTTAGCAGAGACCAAAAACTGAAAGAGAGTGCTAGTAAACGAGACACAAACGCAACATTAGTAAAAGTGGTGGTGTTTCTCATTTGTGAAAAAATAAGTTAGCTCTAACGGGTAACCAAGGTTATATTTGGAAAGGGGAAAGAAAGGTATGCAAGTTGAGGAAAACGGAGAGGAAGGGAGGACCTTTCTCTTATTGTGTTTGGTTCGGATTCTCTCTTTTAAATTTAATCCTTTTGTATTGGGAGGGGTCAATATTAGGATTCTGTGAAGGATTTGAAATTCCTCATCCAATCCATTCGCTCCTCTTTTCTCTCCTACCAATCAACTTTAAGTACTAATCCCCTCACCCTCTCCCTCCGCTCTTCTTCCTGCCAAACAAGCTCTGAAAGTCCACTTGTTTCTTTCCTTCTGTGAACACCAAAAGAGAAGTAACAATATTAATCTCTATACTTCTTCTTTCGGTCCTCCATGCCAACTCTTTGAAAAATGATCAAGTGAAGCCGGTCACTAGAGATATTAAACTCGTCCTTTCTTGTTGTGCCCGTGTTTGATATATTTTTTGTAATTTTCATCAGCTTGCCATTTTTCACATGAACTAAAAGGTACAGGTTCATTTCACTTTTGGTAAACTCATCTGCAGGAATTCGGGCTGATAGACAAGAAGGAGCTGGCCCCACTTCAAGAGCTTATTGAATCCATTATTGTTCCTTACTGAACAGGGTTTGCGCGATCTTGGAATGAACTTATTTCAGGGACGCGTAATTTATGTTAAATAAATGCTGATAATCAGTATTTAACTTCACAGTGTTTATTATGTAGCTTAATGTTTCAAGTTAATGTGCATATGCTGTGTGGCTTGGATCTCTTTATGGTCTTCTTGCCTACAAGAATGGGATCAGAAATGAACTTGTCTCTGATGCATGTGGAAATGGCTGAAGACCGTGATTGTAACATCCACTAAAATCTAAAAATCTACAAAAGGGGTTTTAGGAGTGATTGATCTATCTGGTCTGCACCAAACGTTGTTTCTTGCAAGTAAACAAGTGGTGATTGCTTGGTGCATGGCCTAATGTGATTGGTGCTTATTGTCTAGGTCGGGTCACTTGTAAGCTGTAGAGCTTTGACCAAAAGCTAAATTGTTGAAACCTGTTTTCATGCTTTTATAGAGATGTTCAAACTTGTTTTCATGCTTTTATAGAGATGTTCAAACTGCCTCGATCTCTCTCATACATCCTTTTTTTTTTATTTATTTAACTTTTAACCAGATTTAATACAAATTTGACGGCTGATAAGTAAAAAACACTGTGTTGGGTGTTTAGTGGTACGAGTGAAAAGTATGCACATTCTTTGCGTAAAATTGATAATGTGTTTTCTATTTTATTGGTCAGCCTAGAGATTTTTAAAGCGATGAAGGAGATGGGGCTAGGATTACACAAATAATTTCCATTTTTTTATTTAGCAAAAAGAAATACAACAAAAATAAAAATAAATAAAGAGACTGTTTGGTAAATAGGTTTTTTGGTGGTTTGAATTTTTTTTATTTGAAATGGAAAGTTTAAAAAATATAGTTAAATTTTTGGCTCAAACTATTGAAAACAAAGGGGGAGATTAGCTCAGATTTTTTAAGGTTTTTTTTTTTTTTTTTTTTTTCAAAACATCAAATCAATGTGATAGGAGTAGAAAAATAATAGAATTGAAAGGAATTAGGGGAAATAAAATGTGCAACTTTTACGCTTTGTCTGGTATGAAGGAAAGAAAATAGCAGAGAAAGGAAAACTATAATGCATAGAAAATTAAAAGAATAGAAAAGATTTTGATTTTCTCTTGACTTGTTTGGTATGATAGGGAAGAAAGAAAATGAATCTACCTTCTCTTGTTTGGTATTGGAAGTGAAACTAAAAGGATGAAAAAAATTATTATTGGTGTAATTACTTTTTTGCCTAAATGAGGATAATTTTGGATGAAAAATGAGGACAATTCAGTAATTTGATTTCATTTGTGTAGTTATTCATATTTTTCTTTCTAAAATCCACCCACTTTTGGAAGGATTAAATATAGTATGACCCACTAATAAAAATTTTCATTCAATTTTCCTTTCCTTCACAATTTTCTTTCTACAAAACAAACTAATTTTTCAATTTTCATCCCAAAATCCCTCCAACATTTTCTTTCATTCCACTTTTCATTCATACTAAACACACTGTTATGGACAGCGAAGTGCAAGCATTTTGAACACAATACAACCAATAAACTTGTCTGTATCCAGAGGACAAACCTTTAATAGAATATTAAAATAACAAATCCAAGACAAAAAATCTCAAAACAGTTTCTATGATATTTATACTAGATATTCCGAAGTATTATTTGCCAAACAAACATAATTAAACTCCTAAAAGATAGGAAATAATGGATGAAATGGTTAAAGTGGAGTTGTGGAGAACGTGTGGGAAATTACGGAAGGAGTTGGACCACTTCTTCAGCTGTGTTAGTTTGTTGAACGTGTAGACCAAGCAGTAGGAATTGGTCAAATGTCACTGCCACCTCTTTCTAGAATAGGTTTTCAAGGGTGGAACCGTATCACAATGATTTGAATCAAGCCTTGAAAACATTTGACAAAGACCGGTGACTGGTCTAAATCAACTTTAGTTTGAACTAAAGTTGAATTTATTTATCAAACAGGCCAAAATAAATAAAAAGACAAAGGGAAGAAATCAAGACTGTGTTTAGAATTGATCTCGTTTTTATTTTTTACGTTTTTTAAGAAAAAAATGAAAACGTTTTTAAAACAGCGTTTGACGCAATAAAAATAAAAACAAACATGAAAACGATTTTTTGGTTTAGAATGAAAGACTTTTAGGGTGCGTTTGGAATTCGTTCTAAAATGATTTTGTTTTCTATATGAAAATGAAAATGAAAACGTTTTCATTTCTATTTTAGAATCATTTCTGAAAATGCGTTTAGTATTTTTATTCTGAGATTGTTTGTAGTTTAAAAAAAAAACTAAAACTGCGTTTAGTGGTTTAATTTTTGAAAACATGTAATAGTATTTTAAATAATAATATCCGGGAGAACAAAAACTAATGCCACCTGAAAAAAAGTCACCACCCTTCGATTCGCCTCGGTCGACCACCTCCTATCATTGTTCCTCTGTGTCCAAATCCTCGCATAGAACACCCCAAAAACCACAATCCACCATGCGGCAACAATACTCTTCAGCACCACAATCCACCCGTGTTCTCATCAATGTAATCCTCCAAAATCTTGTTCAATTCCATGGCCATATTATGAAATATATAGCAAATACACTCTGGAGCAAATCAAAGATTAGCAGACTCACCCCAAATCAGGAGATAAAGTGAGACGTAGAGCAGCTCACGGCGCTGGTCTAACGACGCCTCGCGGCGGTCGGAGATCCAAATGTTGGACTTCTTCCCTAAATAGTAGCATCAATCGGTGTAGTTCTTCAACAACTTCTTGCGGGAGCGGTGGAGGACGCCGGCGTCGAGTGTATCGATGTTGTCCGGCAGCGGCGTGAGGCGCATCTGGGCGTTGGCGAGGTGGGGGACGAGGTGCTCCCTCTGGTTCCGAACGCTATCGTTTTGGAAGCCGAAGAATAGGGCGAGCCAATCGAGGAGGTCCATGTGAGGGAGCCATTGTGCGAATGGCGGCCGGCGGAGGTTCCCGACGGCTCGCAGCGCCGCCACCGCAACTCGAACCTCCGGGTACCGCAACGATGAGTGGTCCGCGAGCAGGTTGCGCACCGGGATTATGTTGTACGGCTCCGACTCCGGGTCTCCCGCCGCCGCCGCCGGACCCGGACGTGACGGTGGGGATGGTTGCTGGCGGAGGCTCATGAGAGGGTTGAATCGGAAGATGCAAATGGGAGAAGAAGGAAACAAAAATGAAAACGGCAAAAACGATCTCAAGTCGTTTTCAGATTTTTGGGAAAATGACAAAAACGTTTTTGTTTTCAATTTTGATAAATTGTTGCACCAAATACGTTTTTTCTATTCGTTTTAATTTTTTATCCTCGGAAAACGTGAAAAACGTTTTTAAAAATGAAAACAAATAGGCATTTAGTCGTTTTTCATTTTTTATTTTCGTTTTCTCCTCTCTCGAGCAGAGAGAGAAAGAGAGACATTAATGAGTTTTTTTACACTGAAAACAATCTCTTGATAAAACTACCGAACACATTTTCAAAAATAATTTCTGTTTGAGATTAAAAACGTTTTTATTTTCATCCAAAAAATAAAATTATTTTAAAACGAGTTCTAAATGCGCTCAAATTTTTTTTTCCTAAAATTTTTTTAAAAATAAAATCAAACAGACATATAAAAGGGCAAACAGCTACAACTAACACTACCCTATGAAAACATTTGCGAACACCTAGTTGATGCAGGACTGGGTAAAACTAGAATAGAGGGAGAATTTAGATAGAAGACTAGAGAATCGAGGGAGAAGACTAGAATCAAAGAAGTAGGAATAGAGGTAGAAGAGATAGAATTAGAAGCAGAACGAACTCAAGAGAGGAAACTGAAAACTCAATATTCATTCATTCATTAATTCTGAATAAAAATAACAATTATTAAATTATTTATAGAGATTGAAATCGGGATCATGTTCTAAAAAAGAGATAAACATAAATAAATTTAAAATAATAAAAAAGAAAAACATAAACTTAAATTCAAATTTAAATATTAAAACTAATACTAATGTAATCTCCATCACAAGTCCTACCCTACCATTGTTGTAAATTGCATAGATGATCTTATCTTGAGACATCTGCATAGATGATCTTAGAATTCGAGTTGAGATGTGACTTTATGTGAGAGCTTTTTACTGTAACAAAAAAGTTAAATGTGATTATTTGTGAGAACTTTTTACTGTAGAAAAACTCAAATTCTAAACTCGAATCAGTGAAGTGAACGGGGCCTAAAAATAAACATATTGGTGAGATGGCCAAACCATGGCTGCTGAATGCTATTGGTCCTCAATGTTGCCATGACGTGAGCAGGGAATGGAGTGGCACATGACTTAGCCCAGTACGCTTAGTCATTGTTCTTGGTCTACCCAGATTCCTTTACTCATCTGATATCTGAGATGTAGTTTGTAGAGATATTGCCTTGATTTGATGTAATCCAATTTCATTGATAACAAAACAGTAATACACACATTTTTTATAAAAAAAATAAATAAATAAAAAGATGAAAATGAAAGCAAAAATATGGTAAAGGCAATTATTAAAAGGGCATAAAAACAAGAATGTGAAAGTTTGAGTAGTCTTCCAAATTACTGCAGCTAACCTGGTAGGCTACCCTTAGTATATTTGGTTGGAGGAAGAGATGGAGAGATGGAGAAGTGCAGGGAGAGTCAATTTATTTTTTAGTTGGAAGAAGACCCGCTCACCAAATTGAATCTTTTCATTAATGAAAATGTTCAAGAAATCCATTATATTCAAATTTAAAAAGACTATTTTACTCTCTAAATATAATATTAACAAATAGTATGTGATAATATAATAAGCAAATAATAACTATTATCTAACTCTTTCTTTCTCCAACCAAACAATATAAACGATTAGTAGGATTCTCTTCATCCTTTGGTCTTGGTCTTGTTAGTGGTTGGGCGGGGTAGTTTTGGCATTATACTTCTTATGTGTTACTTATGGTAAATAAAATTTGAGAAACAATATATAAGACCATATACCTTTTCAACCCATTACAAATTCACGTAAAAAACCCACCAGTTATGACATGGGTTCAACATAGTATTAGATATCAATATCACTAGTTAAACAATGATACCAATCATTTGTCATAAAATTTTGAGATGCCAAAAATAATCATGAGTCCAAATATGACCCAAAAAAATGTATACATTTGCATCACTACAGTCATAGTAGCACAAAACTATTAATATGTGAAATTATTGGGTCATGATGCTATATGGCAGTAGAATGGATAATGAATATCATTTTTCATGAAAATCCCTCTTTACATAACTTGGTCTTCCCCTAAAGCAGGGTCATACTACCAAAAATTCTCTTATACAGATAGGTGCTACTACTACTATATGATGCGTTTTAGGATTTCAAAGAATGCATCAGAACAGAAGGCAACACATTACTATCAATCAAAGACAAATTAATACCAGAGAAGACAATGCCAAATTCACAATGACATAATCAAGAACCAAATTTAAATAATAATACTAATAATAATCAACATATTATTCCTTCTAACAAAAAGGCCCTACAAGATCTCCTCATCACTACAAATCATGTAAAATAACCAGCATCTTCTCTTTCTTTGCTTTCCTATAAACTTCAACTTGTTTTTTTTTTTTTTTTTTTCTTTTTGTATTGATTTATTCATTACAATGAGACAAAAAATAATGAGATTACAAGTGAAAAACAGATCCCAACGCCCAGTGAAGAAACACAAAAGATTTCATACTCTAGTTTGTTTGTTTGTTTAATCTTGATCCAAACCATTTTGACCAGAATGCAGGCTCCTAGTATCAGAATGCTCGAATCTAGAAGCAGCAAATGCATAAGCTCCCACAACTGAAGTGAAGACTCCAAGGACCATGAAGAAGAGCTGGAAGTTAGCAAGCAGCTCACCCCGCACCTCACTGTCCGGCGAATGACACACAACGTTGTTCTCCTTGAGCCAACAACCGTCTGGCATCATGGGGCCGTATAATGTGAAAGCCGTTTGATAAAACCACAGGCCTTGGAGACTAATGGCAACGCCACAACTCAAGTCGATGGCGAAATTTGTGGGTAAGAGTGCTCCGGCAACAGTGGATACTATGCAAAGTCCTATTAATAGGACAAGGAGGAGGTGGTAGTACCCCTCTAGCCCTTTATGTGTTGTTGAGTGAAAGTAGAAAAGAAGGTACTCGGCACTGAAAGCTGCGGCGATGATCAAACATAGAGCTCCTTCAGGCAAGGGAAGAAATCTGCATGAAAGAAATTATAATTGTAAAAATTAGCCAGTAGTGACTGTAAAACAAGATTGCAACATTCTATAATAGAATAAGATTGCGTCTGTTGATCAAGCAACAACAATATGCAAAATGGTTGTTGAAGTAAGCTCCCAGAATCACAACAACATAGCTTACTACCACTTATATTTGTTGTGTAATGATTTAATGGCTGAGAACAAAGTTACAAAACCACCTGAACAAAAATTAAATCATGTCGGTGAATATTTCAAATTCGATCCAAAATCCCGGACAAGAAGATACTGAAAATTATAAGTGACTAGCGTATGTTTGATTAAGTTTTTTTTTTCCTCTCTCTCTCTCTTAATGCTGATTTCTCTCCATTTTAGTATCAATAAGAATTGATATGCTAAGATTATGTTGTGCTTGTGCATTGAAGTCGAAGTTAATCTCCAGAGAAAGAATTAAAAGACTGCTATAGGTTAAAATCATATGAGATGAATCAGTCACAGACAAACGGCTTGATTTCTTAATAGAACAACAAAATTTTGCAACAAGAATGTGATATTAACACTTCCAATGAACATATAGATAGGGAAAAGCAGTCCACAAAAATGTTCTTTTTCACCAAAAGGAAGCAGCAGACAGGAAATTTCTAGTTTCTACCACTTAATCTTAAACAGAGAATTGATATGCTAGAAGAGACCATCATCAGATGTTTATCACCAAAACTTCAAAGCAGATCACTAGTGTATTCTTGTCTTAGGAATGAGAATAAACATAATAAGCTTAAGCTAATTGCCTAATTCTATAATTTGAACATTATATGTTGTTCTCCACTGGGTTCTGACCATGTAGATTTAAAGCCCCACTTTTCCAAAAGGTGAAAAGTTTAGTTTCAAGCTCGAATTGATTTCAAGAATTACTAAGCCAGTAAGCCATGTTTCCAAACTTTTCTTTAACTAACATCCATATGAGAATCAATCCTATAATAACATTATCTGAGAAAACCAGATTTCCAAAACAAATGCAGAAAGTCATCATAACTAAAGGGAATCAAAAAATAGTCCTATAGTAAAAATCATTGCCCTGTCAACAAGCAAGTTACATAAAACTTCCAACTATTCTATTAACTCAACAAATGCTCTTTGATTGGAAAACAACAGGAAATAAATAAAATAGAAACAAGTAAAAAGAATGATGATGACTAACCTTGTCTTTTCCGAGAGAAGAGCAATGACACCAAATATGAAAAACATTAGGAGCATACCGGAGTGCTCAAAATCATTCATGTGAGAAGGATTTAACTCTCCATTGACAAAGAACTTTAGATGGGTTGAGTACAGAAGCTCAATACACAAATCAATGAAAGCACCAAAAGCCACAACATAAAGCTCGAAATACTTGAGCCTCCCATCAAAACCCGGAACCGGGTTCCAAACCCGGACCCGAAAAGATTTCGGGTTTGATGTGTATCTCACCAAAGAGTTCCATATGTGCCATAACCCAATCACAAGAAATAGTGTCCCTGGCACAACATGACCCTTGAAAGAACCCATCTTTTTTTTTTTTTCCTTCTCTCTTTTCTTTCACAACATATGATTATTTTCTTCCTCCTTTTTTTGTACCAAAAAACGAAAATCTATTATTCTGACATATGACTTTATTGGGTCTCTTCAACTGCTGTAACTTTCTTAATCAAAAGCAATGCTTTTGCTGCAGAAAAATGAAAAGCTTTCTCAGAGCACTAACACTTGGAATCTTTTTATTCTTTTCTGGGACAAAAGAACATGTGCCTCAGATTGAAAAAAAAAAAAAAAGAAAAGCTGATGCCAAATTCTTTCTCAACTCTGTATCATCACAAAAGGAATATATGTATATGTATACATATGAATCAACAAAATGAATGATGAAAAAAGAAAGAACAAACCTTTCAAACAATGAGTCCACTTCTTGATTTCAGTGAAACCCAGAAACAAAAATGATGCAAGAAACTGTAAAATCAAAGTCAGAAGTCAAAAGTTGAAAACGTGTTAACAAAAAAAGAAATATGAATAATATTGAGATAACATTTAAAAAAAAGGAAAAAGAAGAAAAGAAAGGAGATTAAAGAGAGAAGAAACGGATCCATGTCCATTACAGAGCCGTTGAAAAGTCTACAATTATGCACGAAACTTTTACACAACCAAAACCGAATCACGAAAAAGCATGAAAACAGTTCTCTCTTTTTCTCTTCCCTTTTATTTTATAGTGATTGATGGGGTTGAGCGTAAAGAGCAAATAAAGATTAAAGAAAAAGCAATCATAATAATCATAATAATAATAATAATAATGAAGAAACCAACGTAGTACTAGTTATTAGTTACCTATATATGTTTGTATGCATATGATGATTGATTTTCAGTCCCAAAAGCTTCTCTCCTTCTCTCAAGCTCTCATTTGTGTTTTGTGTATAATAAAAAATATATTTATATAATTTAATAATAATAGACCCAACAAAAAAATATGAACCCGGAATTACAGAGAGAGACGAAATGTAAGATGTGCAGTTATGATGTTTAGTGGGGATCCGGGACTGGTCGCCGACAAAAAAAGAAAATAATAATAAATAATAAATAATAAAGTGGTTCTATTCACGTTTTTTTTTTTTTTCTCTTCACACCTCCTTTTAATTAAAAATTTTTTATTAAAAAAAACCTTCACATAAAAATAACAAAAAAAGAGATAGACTTATATGCTTAATTAAATATACTACAAAAAAAAATTAATGATAATTTTTTTCTCTACACATTTTACTATCTCGTTCAGTTATCAATTCAAATTTTCAATTCGAGTTGAACGTTAATAGAAGTATGTACAATTTTTTTTATTTAGAGTATGTGGTCATTTACATTCTTTTTTTCATGTTTATATCTTTTTTGCCAATCATTTTGTTTTTTAAGACTAATTCCTTCAATTTTTTTTCTTCTCTCTTTTTCTTTTATAAAGTTAAGTGTATTGCTTTTTTTTTTTTTCATTCTCTTTTTTTTTTCCATGCTCACGGGCTACTTAACAAGTTTGCCATTTTTTTTTTACCATTTTATATTTTCTAATCATAGATGATTATTTGCCTTTCTAAAATGGTGGGTGTGCAGAGAAAAATAAAAAGTGTAGCTTTACATATTCTCCATGTAATTCATGTGTCCTTTTATGATATTGTAGAGATTTTAGGTTGTTAACTTGTTATAGCAAAAAATAATAAACTACAATAAAATAGAGTAATAATACAACGCATAATATGAGTGTTATATATAGATAAGTTGTCACGTCATAACAATTCAATCAATTTTGATGATCACCTTAATATGGTTTCTAAAATAATTAAGCTTTTAATGTTTGTAATTAACTTGAATTTTTTCTAATATGATTCCACAACCTAAATTGTATGGCAGACCAATTATCTACACACACCAACTTGATAAATGACTCAAGAGCTTGATAGTCATTTTCTTCATTAGATGGGTCCCTCTCAAACTTTTGATAGATGTGAGAAAACACCTCTACAAATCAAGAGATAAACTCGTTTGTTTCGCTGATTCGAGTTTAGAATTTGAGTTTTGTTACAGTAAAAAGTTCTCATAAATAATTACATCTAATTTTTTTATTATAGTAAAAAATTCTCACATATAATCACATCTTAATTTAAATTCTAAACTCGAATCATTAAAATGAACGAGGCTATATATTGTTGTGTATGCTTTTGTTTTGGTGTGAAATGAACTTCTAAATTCCCCAGATAGGTGTAAGTGTTTCAAAAGAGAAAAAACCACGAAGGGGCACGTGGATCTGTAGGTGGCAATCCATCAATTCAAATTATTATAAATTCATTGAGGCTGACCCATTCAATTTGTATTGATGGAAGATAGAGACAAATGGACAGGCTGCTCTACGGCCTATACTCCTACAAATTTTGCTTAAAGAAATTAAGGAGGACCCATTGACAGTCTGTTTAGTTAGAAGATTACTTATCTGATTAAATTATAATTTATAATTTATTATAATATTTTTTTTTATAAAAAATATATATAAATAAATAATTTTAATATTATAATTTTAATTTATGAACTAAACGGATTATTAAAAAATGTGAAATGGTCAATTTTTTAAATAAAATTAATGAACAATTTTTAAAATTTAACAATTATATTCCCACCGTCACACAAAGCACGAGTGTGAGAGGATGAGAATTTAGACCTATAAAAACAAATAGGATTACTCAAAAACAAAATTAAACATTACACCAAACAATTAAAAACCATTACGACCGCTCTGACTCTCTCCTCGCCTCCTTTCAAAATTTTGGGTTTGAAAAAGCGTCAGGGTGCCAAGACATCATCGCAACCTCTCCCACCGTCAAACCCTCCACGTCTCCTCCCCTTCTCGAGTGGGATCTCCCACTTTCAGCCGTTAGAAAATCATCATCACATTGACCCGTTTAATTCACTAATTCGAGTTAAAATATAATTTTATATGAAAATTTTTTTACTATAATAAAAAAATTAGATATGATTATTTTTTAAAATTTTTTTACTGTAACAATGTTTTTATTTTCTCCTTTATCGAGTAAAGAGAGAGATTAATAAATTTTTTTATATTAAAAATAATATTTTAATAAAACTATCAAATATATTTTTAAAAATACTTAGAAGGGTTTTTTTCCCTCCATTCGGGGAAGGATTTTTTTTTCTTTTTTATACATGTTTTTTGGGTTTTTTTTTCTTATTTTAATTTTTGTCTTTTACTTTAAATCTTTTTCATTTTTTATTTTATTTCTTTTATTTTTTTGTTAATAAATAATTTATATAACTGTTGTTTTAAATGAATTCGTCAGCGTTTTTGACTTCTAAACTAGAAAGTTGTGAATTAGTTTCAGGAGAAGCAGCTTGCTATAACTAATTACACCCCTTCTGGTATATTGTTTCTATTGTATTGTTCAAGTTAACGTGAGACATCGGTTTTTTTTTTTTTTTAATTTAAAAAATGAGAGATTTTTTATCCAAAAAAAAGGGGAGATATCAGTGCTCATTCATTTTACCGATTTGAGTTTTCAGTTTTAAATTTTTACAGTAAAAAGCTCTCAGAAAATATCACATTTAACTTTTTCTGTTACAGTGAAAAACTATCAGAAAATGTAATGAAAAGCTATCAAAAAATATCACATTTCAATTCAAATTACAAACTTAAATTTACGAAGTGAACGAGGCCGATGTACTCAGCTGAATCATTGCCACTAACAGAATGTTAACACTGCTCTCTGTAATTTGTAGTTTGTTCCTATAAAATAAAACCAAGCTTTTCCTTTGGAGGGTTTTTTTTTTTTTTTTTTTTTTTTTTTCTGGCTCTGCCGGAAGTGCCCTGTGGGGAGGGTGCAAATGCAATCCGTTTTTTTCTCGGAAACGTGACAGGGAATCGGCGATATATCTTCCAAGACCACCACTATCACTCTCTATTTTTATGAAAATGCTAATTTTGATTTGTATATTTATGTTTCTCTTTTTTTGTTTTGAATAATATATTTATGTATCTCTTTTTTTTAATAATATATTTATGTTTCTGGTGTTCGAATGGATTTTTTTTTTTCCTTTTAATAATATCCACCTCCTTTGTAAGAACAACAAATTCCAAAGTCCAAACCTCAAACGCTAATCCGTTGAGAAGCAAAACTTACAGTTCTTCAACTTCTTTTACTGTACTTTCTAATAGATTTTATACTTTGGACAATGATGGTACAAGTTTTAAACACCAAGCGTATTTTCATTTAAAAAAAAACAAAAAACTAACTAGGGATAGGTTAAAGCTAAACTAAATAATTATAAGATAAATATAAACTATTTAAAATTGAATCTATCAATTAACTTTATTATGCTTATGCAAAATAGAACTCTAATAGGAGAATCTAATCTTAGATAATTAACAAAAAAAATTGACTGGAGGGGTAAGGATGTCGCGGTGAGCTCTTTTGCCGTCATCGATGAACGCCTGCTGCTAAAAGAATGATCGCAGCCGTTGCCATATGTCTCACACAATATTGGCCGAACCAAAGTGTCACCAAGATCTAGGGTAGTTGTGGATTTCAAGATCGCAATAAGTAGAATCACAATGTTGATCTTCACGAGAGATGGATCTTGTTCGTTGTAAAACATAATATTAGATAACAACGACAGACGTATATATTTAGTTACGCTGTCATCGTCACTGTAGATGATAACAGATCTATAGTTACAAATGAAGCTGGAGGGCTATTTCAAAATTTTAAAAATCTTATAAAAAGTGGTTTTTATTTATTTTCTTCCACTAACATTTGCTTCGTTTAAATTTATTTATTTATTTATTTTTTTCATAAAAAGAATTACTATTTCATTACTATTTCTGTGAAAGGTGATCAAAATATAATAATACAAGACGATGCTTTACCAATGAGCCCTTTTGTTTATCCCAACAAGAGATGTGTTCCATCTTTGTTGGTTTTATCTTTTATGGGATCCATAAAGTATGGATCCACCTATGCGAGTTAGGACGAAAGTATTTCCCTCTGCCAAATTTTTCCTTTTTTTTTTTGAAGTGAATTTTTCATCTTTTTAGTGGTACAACAAGTAAAATAATACTTTGTTTTACTTTATTTAAAGTTTTTTTTTTCCCTTCATAATATACGAAAAAGATTCATGCATTTAATTTCATTGTTTATGTATTTATTTATTTATTTATTTATTTTGTCTCTCTCCGGTCCTACGAAAAGTAAAGAAACAAACTGAGAAGCCACACCAAACAACACCAAACAAAAACCATACCACCGCTCTTACTCAGTTACTCTGACTCTCTCCTCCCCTCCTTTTCAAATCAAAATTTTTGGGTTTTTGGGAGAGCGTCACGGCGCCAAAGCCCACCACCACCACCACCCCTAACCTCCCTCCACCAATCAAACCCCGCCACGTGTCCTCCCCCTTCTCAGAGGACACATTTTCCTCACGTTTACGTGGGATCTCCCAACTCTCGCCCCTCACAAAATAAAAAATCATCGGTCAGAACAGAATTCCTCAAATTCCCCAAAACGCCATCGTTTCCCCCGCCGCCAGATCTCGGCGAATTCGCAATGCGAGAGCTCCGATTATAGGTCGCCGCCGATGAGCGATCAGGTCACCTAGCCTCCTCGCTGATCTCGCCGGAAGCTTAGGTGAAGATCGCGATCTTGAGCTTCCGCGGCCGGCGACTTTATTTTTTTGTTTTTGTTTTCCTGTTGAAATCCGCCAGTGTTGCTCCCGATGTCGTCGAAGGTGGTGTACGAAGGTTGGATGGTCCGGTATGGACGGCGGAAGATCGGCCGGTCCTTCATCCACATGCGATACTTCGTGCTCGAGTCCAGGCTTCTTGCCTACTACAAGAGGAAGCCTCAAGATAATCAGGTTTTCTATTTTGATAATTGTTTTTTGTTGGAATTAGGTTGAATTGTTTAGTTTGATTTGGATTTTGGAAAGAAGAGAACTTTTAGCATCTTGTAAAAGGAATTGGAAGACAGAAAAAGCTCTTTTTTTTTGTTGTAAATTTGTAATGCGAATCGAATTGGATTTCGTGACAGTCTAAAGTTTTTTCTTTTTGTCCCACTTTTTATTTTTGTTTATTTTTTCTATGTTCTTTGCTTAGGTGCCGATTAAGACTATGTTAATTGATGGCAACTGTAGAGTAGAAGATCGAGGCTTGAAGACTCACCATGGACATGTGAGTTTTTTTTTTTTTTTTTTGAATTTTATTATTTGTTATTTCACTTATTCAAATGATAAGATTAAAATGGTCGAGCTACATTACAAATAATGAGTTCATGCATCTTCAGAATTCTACCGTTTAAACAATGTCATGGTTTTGTAATCTTAAATTTTATTGTTCATGTTTTAGTAAACACGGATTTACATTTCGCTATAGTTTTTAGTTTGCCGGATTTAGATTACCTTGCAGAATTTGATTGTTTTGGCATTCAAAGAGAATGTAGCATTCATTTATTTAGATTTTAGAGCTTCAAACGTTTGTATGGGTTTAAGTCTCATTAAGTATTTTGAGATCGCACTCCACGCGTTTCTCGTTAACTTCAAGTCTGGAACTTGAAAAAATTCAAAATTGTCTTTGAGTTGGAACATACTAAGGCCTCCAGCAGAAATAGAGGAGCAACCAAGAACATTTCTGAAGAAAATTCTCCAAACAGAAGAAGGAAAAGGAACCTGTGTTCCTACTTCCTGGATTTTGAATTGACTAACATGGAGCAAATACAAGCTGCTTTAAGCATGAGTTCAGCAAAAATAAAGTATGAGCTACGTAAGCTTAACCCCAAATTGCTATATACTCTACCCGTTACTAAACACACTATGCAAGCAAGGATCTACATAAAACTAGGTAACAGAAATAAGCTAACAATGAAAAAGTCCTTGGCAGCAAGTAAGCAACTACACAAAAAGGAGATAAGTAGCAGCTGCAAAATGACGCCCCTGCTTCATAAGCTTGGCATAGCTTAGATTAGCTTGCTTAACTTAGCTTACCTTATGTGTGAGTTCAGGGTTTTCGCATTTAGATGCGTGGTATCATTTAGTGCTGACTAATGATATCCTATAGACTCATGCATGACTTGAGGAAAGTTTGCATTGCTTCTTGGAATTTCTTAAGAAAACCTGAGTTATACGTACGAAAGAAAGATAGGAATTTTGCAGGTTCTGTGGAAACATGAGGTTTACAGTTTTTACTTGAAATCCTCTTATTTTTACTTCATGTTATGTAAAACAGTCATCTATCCTTAATTGAGGAAGTATGCACCTCAAATTACGTGATTATTCCTCCATAATTCTTGATATTTTATTTTGGTGTGTGCAGATGGTTTATGTTCTATCTGTGTACAACAAGAAGGAGAAATACCACCGGATTACGGTACGTTAATTATTCCCCTTAGGAACATGAGTGAATGAGCGCTGATGTTGCCATGCTGTTCAGTGCACAATTAGGACAATACAATCAGTAAATTGCTATGTTTAATTGAACTGTCTCATTAGCTCCTGTGCAAGTATTTGTGAACCTTTTGACTTTAATGCGCGAGTATTTGACTTTAATGCCGAAGGAATTGGAATTATTTGGTCATACCCCAGGGGTGGACTCTCGACTACCAGATGATACTTTTGTGCATCACTTATAGACTCATAGTTCGTTAGGACTTAGGATTCAAGGCCTTGCAATGAGATTGGCAGCTGGTCTGGCATAGAATTTGTCATTTGATTTTTTTTAATAAAAGACATGATAAAAAACATTTTTGTTAGAATGTCTGAAGAAAGTACAAACAGGGAGAAAAAGAGAATAATATCCTCCAAGAGGCAAAAATAATGGGGGAAAATCATAACCATATAGTAACTTGGGAATTCCCTTTGAACTAAGATGACTTAACACTAACAATGAAAGATGAACTCAATATTATGTTCAAAATGATCCCTACCATTTCTGTTTTCGTCTTTTAAGGGCTTTAAAATCGATCTTTATAAATATTCTGTGCCGTATGCAATGTCTTTAGTTTCTCGCGATGTTTGTGAGTGTGTCCAAAGTTTGTATGAGTGAGTCATACAATACATCATTGGTAACATCCTCCGTGAAAGTTCTCTATTGTTCCTGTTATTTAAACTAAATATGAAAGCCCGATGTGCAACAGATTTTAGTTTGCCAGATTCATTTTTTTGAAGTTTACTCTTTTTTTTGGTTGGAACTAGCACAAAACACGAGATGAGAAATACTGAGATATGAGTAACAGAGTCACAACACTGGCTTTCTGCTGGCAAATTTTAGCGAGATTCATGATAGGCAAGAAAGGCATTGATCTGCCTTTTGTACGTGGTCGTCGTTATCTTGTCTTATTCATGATGTCCTTGTTCTAAACTCGTAATTGCTAATGTTATGATGCCAACAATCGCTTTGGAAAAATACATTTTGAGTCTCCTGTTTTCTTGTCCAGATGGCAGCATTTAATATCCAAGAGGCACTACTCTGGAAGGAAAAAATTGAACTTGTAATTGATCAGGTATATTTTTGTGATACCTCTTCACATCTAATCTCCATTATATGCTCATTTTTCTCTCCTAACCTCATTATTTGCTTGGTTTAGATATTAGGTTTTTATCTTAGGCAGTTGTATATTAAGTTTTTAGGTATTTCTTTTCTTCATATGTTGTCCTCTGTGTGTGTGTTTGTGTGTTTTGTTCTTTTTTCGTTTTGTTTTATTTATTTTTTTTGTTTTTTTGAAGTTGTGTTTTATGCATACGTTCCTGCCAGGCAGCGATTCATATAGTCTGACTGTATATTAGTGTATGCAGCATCAGGGTTCACAAGTCCCAAATGGTAACAAATATGTTTCTTTTGAATACAAATCTGGAATGTATAATGGGAGGACTGCTTCATCGTCAGATCATGAAAGTCAGTAAGTATTGTTTTCAGTTTTATGTTGTCTTCTTGTGTCCCAGTAATATGGTGATATTGGAGAAAATGTTAAAGAATTAAGTATTCATCAGATCGCACGTTGTGTTGTGTTGATAATTTCTTGACTTTCTGCAGGTTCAGTGCACAAGAAGATGAAGATGATCCTCATCCGAATTTGTTACGAAGAACTACAATTGGAAATGGTCTAAATATATTATATTCTCTTATGGACATTCAGTTTGTTTTGTTCATTCTTTTTCATTCTCTTTCTTAACATCATTATGTTGAACTAAATGGCAGGCCCACCAGAGTCAATATTTGACTGGACAAGAGAGATAGATTCAGATCTATCAAACCAGAATATGAACAATCAAGCATTTTCTAGAAAGCTTTGGCGTCTTCTCCAATGCCAAAATGGTGAATCCCTCTATTCCACCTTAATTATTGTTGTTGTTATCATTATCCTTGTAGATTATGCGACTCTCTTATTAATTATTATCCAAGTGAGGAAATCTTTCTGTGGTAGTGCCATTAAGGATATGTTTCTGACTTCTTCGTTTAATATTGCCAGGACTTCGCATTTTTGAAGAGCTTCTTGAAGTTGATTACCTTGTACGGAGTTGTTTCTTGTTTCCCTTTTCCTGTCGAGAGATTTTGAAAGCATCTTCTGGTTTAAGATTACAACTATTCTAAATAGTTTTATTTATGCAGCCAAGGAGCTGTAGTAGAGCAATGAAGGCTGTTGGTGTGGTAGAGGCTTCCTGTGAAGAAGTTTTTGAGCTTTTAATGAGCATGGATGGAACTCGGTTTGAGTAGGTGTTTTCCTCTTTCAGCTAAAACTTTTCACAGAGTAATGCAAAAGGCCCATTTATATTTTTCCCATCTGTATGCAAACAGAAACAAAAGTTTTCTCATTTAGTGCCGTTTATGAGGATATGTTTAACTCCATGATACTCTCTCTCTCTCTCTCTCTCTAAATTATTATCTGAGTTGGTGACGGAAAGGGGAATGAAACTGTGAATTATGGAGAGAGATAAGAGCAAAGAAAGAGGTGGATAAATGTTGCCATTTTCTTTTGTGAAAATGTGCACAATGAGATGTATATATTTTTTATTTTTTACCTGTATGCTAGCATTTGGTGTTAACATCTATGTTTGAAGGATGATGATCCCCACACTAGAGTTCATGTATGCACATGCACTTTATAAAGTTGAGCTACTCACTGCTGTCACTGATTTAGCACTAGTATGCTAATAATGGATAATTATAGCCCCGAATATTCCTGTAACTCTATGATTGGCTTATGGTTCATTCCTCGACACATATGGTTTTTCAATGTACTTTTGCATTGTGTGCAGGTGGGACTGCAGTTTCCAGTACGGTAGCTTAGTGGAGGAGGTAGATGGCCATACAGCAATTCTCTATCATCGACTACAGCTGGACTGGTTCCCAATGTAACCGTTTGTTTGCATCCCACGTTCAGTATTGTAGCATTATTTCTAATTTAAGTTATTAGAGTTTTATTCGCAAAAAAAAGCTATTGGAGATTTTTCCCCCTGCATCTGTTGAGTTCTTCAGCTTAAAGCCTGAATTATATTTATGAAAAATACTTTTAGTTTATGTAAATTCATGAAGTCCTTTTTCTCTTCTTTAGGATAGTCTTACCAGTACAACTAATTTTGTACAAGGTTCTTTGAGTTCATCTAGGGCTTTGGAGTGTTCTGAAACATTATGAAATCTTAGTTTTTGATCCTTCACAAATCAGTGCTGTTGCTGGTTTTGAAGGTGTTCTTTTTTTTTTAATATAATTATTATCATTAAAATAAAGTAATAAATTGCTCTTGCAGGTTTGTCTGGCCTCGCGATCTTTGCTATGTTCGCTATTGGCGTCGAAATGATGATGGGAGTTATGGTAAGCATCTTGCTTATCATCGTGTTTCAACCTTTGACTTGTTCCTTTGGAGAACTCACCAAGATTTCTTGTTACCACGCAGTTGTGTTATTTCGTTCTAGGGAACATGAAAACTGTGGTCCCCAGCCCGGATATGTGCGGGCACATATTGAGAGTGAGTTCATAATTTCTTCAATTAGGCCAAGTATTTTGTTCTTTCAGTTTAAATTAGGCAGTTATAGATTTGAATTTCCTCAGGTGGAGGGTTTAATATTTCTCCTTTGAAACCTCGAAATGGGAGACCCAGAACGCAGGTTCAGCATCTTATGCAGATCGATCTGAAAGGATGGGCTGTGGGTTATGTATCATCATTTCAGCAGCATTGTGTCCTTCAGATGTTAAATAGTGTTGCTGGTAACTACCTCCATCTTGTATATTCATTGGTTTTCATTTTTTCTTTTAATTCTTACATTATGTTAGGTTTTGATATTTTTAGAGTTTGTTATCGCTTGGAGGAGATATCAATGTGCTTCTTGATTGGAGAGGTTGTATGTAGTGATTTGGAGTTTTCGTGTCTGTTGGTTGTTTTGTTCTTTGGCTATTTCATGCTATCTTTTTTCTGCCCTCTAGAACTGCTTGTTCTCTCTTGCTTTTCTGCACTCTTATTTACTTAGTTAATGTTTCCTCATAAACAAAAAATGTGCTTGTCACTTTAAATGAGATAATCTGAGTTCTTTACTTCCCTTTTTCTTTACAATAATCAAGTTTTGCGCGGAGGGTGTGAAACAGGTAGGTCTTTTTCTTTTCTTCTTTTTTATTTTTATTTTTATTTTTATAAGAAACAACCTTCATTGGTAATAAAAATAAAGTACAGCAGAGGACAAGAAGTCCTTACACAACATGGACAAAGATTTAACAGACAAAATTACAATACATCCAAATCTAACTCAAAATGAGATCCCAACCCCTCAATAAATCCGAGAATGAAAGATCTGCAAAATCTTTATCTTGAGATGTTCACAATGCTACCCAATAATTTAAATGATCCCAAACACTAGTAACATCATGTCTTTCTTTTTTTAAACTGAAGAATTCATCACATTTTCTTTTTACTAGAAAGATATGCTATTAAATATGGAAGAAGCTCAAACCTGGGGATAAGACTGCGTTAATCATGTTTTTCTTTTGTTAAACTGAAGAATTCATCACATTTTCTTTTACTTGAAAATATGTTTGACTTGGATGATATTTTGTTCCTGGTTCACTACATTTATAGAATTGAAACTCCTTGTTCGTTGGCTATCTAAAGCTGATAAATAGTTTAGCTATATGGTATACTCATTTATTAATTCAATTTTCTTCCACTGACTCTAAGAAGGTAAAATCTATAAAATTTAGAGGTAATTACATAAATATAGCTTCTATTTTTTTTCCTCAATTTATCCTTTTACTTTAGAAATTACAAAGCTATCCTTTGGATTTGAAAAACTTGTTTCAATTTTATCCCTCACACATTTGATTCAATTTTATCCCTCACACATTTGATATTTTGTTTTAGGGCTTTTCTGATCTTTAAATGTTTAACTTATTTTTCAAGAACTATTTAAGGGTATTTTTGTCCTTTTTTGCCTTGTTATTTTCATTCACAAAGTGTGCGAGGGATGAAATCAAACCAATTTTTCAAACCCAAATCATACAGTTTCTAAAAACGTATGGATAAATTGGGCAAAAGTAAAAAATTAACCATTAAATTTGTAAAAATGTACGCTGAAGCAGTGAATCACATCCTCTTCAGTCGTCGCCAGCTAGGCTTTTTTCTATATCTCTCTCTCCCCCACTTAACCCCTGCAAATTTTCTTTTCCTATTCTTGCTCTCCAATCACCATTTTATTGCGCCAGATCAATGACATTGGTCTGGCACCCCAGTCTAGGCCTCATCTACTACCATTACCACTCCTACTATTTATACGAACCATGGAAGCTTGAGAAGTGTATATGACTTTCTGAGCAAGAGCGAGAAAGAGAGGTACAAATAGAATCAATGGAGAAATCCTCTCTCGCTGATTCACTATACTCTTCTCTCTATTTCTCTCTGCCTATTCCCTGTCTTCCTCTTTGAAGCTCTCTCTCAAACCACTTTCGCTATCCCCACCTCTGAACCCCCAAGGCCACTCTTCAGATTTTATCTCTCTTCTTGGCCCAAACAACGGCCTTCAACTCCTCATCGATCAAGCCTCTTGTGACCTAAGGTCACTTTGTTGCTGCTTGGTGACTGTTATGTTTTATTCCCGTGTCTTAATTTGGTTATTTTCTTTAATATCTTATCGTTTTTCCTGGCCATCACTTTTTTTTATTTGTTTCATATTTTTGTTATTACTTATTAGTAATTGCATGGCTCGTAAGAAATAACTGGAAACAGGGTGTGTGAGAATTTGTCGTTCTCCTAGTGGCAATTTTGTTCTTTATAATGTTTGTCTCAAAAGATGCATGCTTTCCTAATATTAGAATGCCATCACTTTTCTAAATGTTTGTCTTATTGCAGGATTACGTGAATGGTTTGCTCAATCAGATGAACGAAGTGCTCCTTCAAGAATCCCAGTAATGGTCAATATGACTTCTGCATCCGTTTCATCACAGATGAGTCAAAAACTAAACGAGGATCAAGTAAATTCTGCAAACCGAAATTCAGTGATGATTGATGAATACTCTGATGAGGATGAAGACTTTCAAATTGCTGAGGCCGAGCAAGAGGTTCCATTCGTGCTTCTGTAGAAAGTTCTGATGTTTATATAGTTCTAAAGAGTTAATATTCTTAATGTATTCTTTTTCGTACCTTTGCAGGCATACCAAAATGGACACGAGAGTGAAGTCAGGAAAATAGGTAGTGTTAACAGTTTCTGTTTTGTTTTATTGCAAAATTGTATGTAGTGGTAAGTTTTGATGCTAACTGTAATGATTTTCTTGTTATGAACCTCTAGAAGAAGAACCAGCGGCACAAATTGACTTATCCTGTTTTTCGGGTAATCTACGGCGTGATGACCGTGATAAAGCTCGTGATTGCTGGAAAATTTCTGATGGCAACAACTTCAGAGTCCGTAGCAAGCATTTTTGTTACGACAAAACAAAGGTTTACCACTTCTCTTGAATCCTTCTATATATATATATATATTTATTCCTTTGAATAATTGAATTTCTTTTGGCTTGTACTCTTATTCGGTTATTCCATTGGCAATATGCATATGAAGATTCCTGCAGGAAAACATTTAATGGATCTGGTAGCAGTTGATTGGTTTAAAGACACAAAGAGGATGGACCATGTTGCAAGGCGTCAAGGATGTGCAGCACAAGTATGTACACTAGAAGCTTTCCCTTGGGTTAATGCATTTTTCTGTTAACTGCTGTCAATAATAGCCTGTTTAAATGCACATGCCACTATGCTCCTCTCTGGTCCTTCAAGTCTGTTTTGTACTTTAGTTGTTTAGTAGCTACTATGTGATTAATATAAAGAGCCTCTTGCTAACTTTATGCATGGATTAGTTCCTTTCCCTTTCTTGGATGGTATCTTGAGTATATTTTGCTTAAATCGCACAAACAAAATATTAGCTTTCTTCTGTTTAATGGAAGCAACTTTGTAGATATATCTATATTTTTTACTTTATTGTCAATTAACAGAACGGCTTAAATTAAATGTAATTTCAATCTTGTTGTAACTTTTCATTGGACTGTTAGTTACGATCTTTCTTTGCAAATATTTGTTTAGGTTGCCTCTGAAAAAGGGCTTTTCTCCATTGTCATAAATCTGCAAGTAAGTTGCTTTCTTCATTTGGATGTGAATTTATTTATTTATTTTCATCATTATTTGTGTTCTGCTGAAATTTGGTTGTGATATTTGAAATGGAAACGTGCAAGTTAAGAAGTGAATAACACCATAGTTTTACAGGTCCCTGGATCAACGCACTACAGTATGGTATTTTATTTTGTGACAAAGGAATTAGCACATGGTTCCCTGTTGCAACGGTTTGTTGACGGTGATGATGAGTTCCGAAATAGTAGGCTAAAGCTCATCCCATCAGTTCCGAAGGTACCGTTGGCTCCTTTGGAGAGCTTTATTATAAAAATTCTGTTTCCTCTATACGTTCTTGGATTCAGCTGTGCCAGAATTTACTGACCTCTTAAAAAAATATATATTTTTTGGATTTTCGCTCCCGAGCTTAGACTTGTTACATAGGAGTGGTGAGGCGGCTTATGGGATTTTTCTTTCCCTTATATGTCAAGCCATTCCTCTGCAATTTAGCGTGTTACTTTCTTGGAACTGCATGCAATAACTCATTTCTCAACACTCACTGATTAAAAAATGTTTGCTAGCCAAAGGGGTACGATAGCATCTGAGTATCATTTTGATGAAGCTAGATTTGCTTATGTGAGTTTAATGGTATTTCTTTGCCTTGGTCGTAAGCGCCACATGTGTCTCATGTTTTCTGCTTTATTCAGTTTATACTTTTTCTTTAATTTCCCCCTTCTGGGCTACTTTCCAACTACACATGTAGAGCTATAGAAATAGGAAAAGGTAATGTCACTTGGGTTTTATTTTTTAATTTTTTTATTATGGAACCATGCAGGGTTCATGGATTGTTCGACAGAGCGTTGGTAGCACTCCATGTTTGTTAGGAAAAGCAGTCGATATCAACTATATTCGTGGTCCCAAGTACTTAGAAGTAAAGACTGATTATTACTTATTTATGTGTAAATATATATGTACATGAATATATGCTGACACTAAAATGCACACATGCACACCTTCTGATGCTAGGCTAGATGATCAGCCAGATGATTATGTGCCGTCATGTTTGACAAACACTGTTCTTTTTGTAGATTGATGTTGACATTGGTTCTTCAACTGTTGCTAATGGTGTCCTGGGGCTGGTAATTGGTGTGATTACGACATTGGTGGTTGACATGGCATTCCTTGTACAGGTATGTCTGTTCATCATATAGATTATGCACATATTACGAGAATGAGAAAGGCAGTAATTCTGTGAATCAAAATGTTTCAATGAGAAAAGAAGGGAGAAACTATTCTCAGCAAGCAAACAACCCATTCATTCATTTCGTTGCTGTATCATCCATCAAACTAAAAAACATCACAAAGGACAGGAATTCCTAAATTCCTTTGAAGAAGAAAGCCATAAAGAAAGTGTTACTCCAAAGTAACACTTTGTCCACCAAGCAAATCCTTCCATACCTCTCCAACTAAATGAACCAACATATCACTGCACATTTCATAGAACCTCAGGCGCAGCGTGAGAGTTTTTGCTACATCCAGAACTACTTTTAACAATAGATGAGCAAAATAATTCAGTATCAACCACAAAAATTTAATTTATTATCAACGTGCTTTAATTTCTTAGAAATATGGTATTGTAAAAACAGATGTCGAAATTTGTCCTTTTTAGTAAGGTGTGTTCTTTACAATAACCAGTTAATGCAACTTATGTATCTATGGAGCTAAAATCTGGACCTAAATCTGAACCGCCAATTTTTGTTGTGAAAGTTGACTTCTAGTTGAAATCTTAAAAATGAGAGTGAGGTGTGTCTGGTGACATTCTATGCGAAATGCTACAACATAGAAACTTGATTCTTTCTCAGTCTTTACTCTATATCACAATTGGATTACCGTTGTCTGGTGAAAATGACAAGTTTGATTATGTTAGCAGTATAAGTTTGAAATCAGAGTATTAGAGTTGCTAAACAAGACAGGTTTTATATTTGTTTGATTAATTGAACTAATCCGGCAGTGGGTCTCTCCTATTGCCTGCCGGCCTTCATTGAGGAACCTCTTTAGCATTTAGCAGTTTTTTGTTGCTTCATGTCCCTAGTGGACCTGATCTGGGAAGTGGTTTCATATATATATATATATATATTTTTTTTTTTTCACAGGCAAACACTACAGGTGAATTACCCGAGCGGCTAATTGGTGCCGTACGTGTTTCTCACATAGAGCTCTCATCTGCCATAGTCCCTAAGCTGGATCCAGATCCGTCTTGACTAACCGAAAGCATTTCTCCCAACTGATTTCATACAAAACCATTTGTTCCGATATGCATGTGATGCGTCCTGATTTCATTGCTATATCTCAAGTTGAGCAATGAATATCATCAGTTTTTTCAAGTGAGATTTTTGCATAAATAGTGAAAAGGAGCGTGTTCATTGGCAATAAGGTTACAGCACCACGTTTATTTGTTTATATATATATAAATATTTTTTCCTCAAGTTGAATTCATTATTGTCCATTCTATACTTGTTCACGTGTGTATCCACAAACAAGTCATAGATGTCAAGTGATTTTGATTTGGCAGGGAATTGGCTTCATGGTACAGGTGGCGATAGCTAATTTTTGTGGGGAGAAAACGTTTATTAAATTGGAGGCACTAATGACTAATTTTGTTCACCAATTGAAATGGCAGCTTCATAATCTCAAAATTTGGTGTTAGAACACTAATTATTTTTATTACTTTGTCTAAGCAAACGAAAGCGGTTTTACTCTACTCCGGGATAAGAGTGTGGTCTTCAGCTCTAGCATTCTCTCTTGAACTGTGGTCTGTGGAAGATAATATACTTGATGAAACTTTTCCTTTTTGCGAATGCATTGTTTTTTGTTTTGGTGCTAAGGAATTATTTAAGAGACATTCATTACGTGAGTTCTGCATCTTTATATGTAATATATGATTTGTTTGGAAACTACACCTCCCATATCTTAAAAGTTAATTTGAGCAAAAGCCAACTTGAAAAGGAGGATGAGTTAGAACATAAATGCATGAATCGATTTGACAGATATTCTCCAATTAAATCGCAAAATTTAATACTCGAGAAAATGGATAGTAATAGAGAATCAATTTTGTTACAAGGAATAATGCTTGTTACAAACTATAACCGTCGAATCTTAATCACATGATCTCCTCAAAAAAAAAAAAAAAAAAAAAAAGCAGTGCTTTTAGAACACCATAAAAGAAGAAGCAACACTAGAGAGATTAGCCGATTGTTTATCACCCCTTCATTTTGCACTCTTCGTTAAGTCTCTTTTCTTTGTCGCTAGAGTGAAAGCAATAAAAAGGACCTTAAACTGTTGTGTCATATAGGAAATCTCTAAAAGCATCCAAAGCAGCCGAAGAACTAATTGGAAAGCCATTCTCAAATTTAGCTGCGAGTGTAATTGCTCGTTGTTTTGCCTCTCCATCATCCATCAATCTCTCTATTCCCTGAACAATGTCCTCTTTCTTCATCTTCTCAGTAAAATCATGAGAAACCATGTATCCCACTTTTAGGTGGGCTACCACCAACTTTGCATTGTGATATTGGTCCCCTCTAATGGGCCACACCAAGAATGGCACACCCCGCCCAATTGCTTCCACTGTCGAATTCCAACCGCAGTGAGACAAGAACCCGCCCGTCGAGGGGTGGCTCAGTATCAACAACTGTGGGGCCCACCCACGTACTATCAAACCCCTTTGGCCCACTCGGCTGTCCAGTCCATGAGGAAAATAGCCTTCTTCAACCGAGTCTGAACCCAGTGGCATCCGAGGCCCCGGTTTACCTGAACCGGGTTGGATCACCCATATGAATGGTCGGGTTGACGCTTCTAATGCATCGGCCAATTGTGGGTAGTCCTCAATTGAGGGGCCCACCTCAGAGCCGAAAGACACGTATAACACCGAACCACGTGGTTTTGAATCTAACCATTGGATCACCTCATCCTCCGTGACATTCGACTGTCGATTATTTCGAATTTTGTGATCATGGACGATAGAACCGACAGATTTCCAATATTGTTCGGGCAAAAGTGGGCCCACGCCCCAGACTGGCTTCCCAATTTGACTAGATATGTACTCGATGAACGGACGCTCGAGATCATCATATGTGTTGATCATCAGTGCAATGGATCCCTTAATTCCGTCTAACCATAGCGGGTGATCACCCGGTTTGGGCGGGCCCTTTCTCTGTGACCATGGCCCACCGAAGGGTGGCGGTGGGTCTGGTGGGGTAGAACCCAAGAATGGGCCTGGCTGTCCAGCACTATGATGTGTTGCCCGGTGGCCCGGCGGCCTATGATGTTGTTGTTTAGTGTCCAAGTAAGTGACGCCCATTTCTTCCGGTAGTCCAGGCAACAAACGGACCTCCCCGGGTTTGACATCAATCGGGTGGGCCTTCCAACGGGCATACTCCATGGCGACAGAGCACGCGCCAGAGGTGAAGAACCCAACCGTTGGAACTTCAAATTTCTGGAAGATCTCAGCCGTCCAGTCCATCATAACATCAACGACGGCACAAGCAGGCTGAACGCCATCGGGGCCCGTTGTTCGGGCCTCGAGGAGGTTCTCAAGGCCCATTCCCATACTGTTGCGGTGCCCATGGTGGTGATGGGTCGGGTCATCAGAACCCGGAAGCGTAGGATCCCGCACAGAAGAAGGGATTTCGGCTATTTCAACACGTGGATGTTGGCGAAGAGAGGCGGGAACTGAGGAGGAGAGGTTGGAAGGAATAACAAGGACGGTGTTGAAGTCTCGGGAAGCTACTTGTTTGCAGAGCTCCATGCTTGGAAAGAGATGGCCCTGCCCAAAAAATGGCACTACCCATATCTTCTTTGCCATTTTAATTCTCTCTCTAAGATTTCTGTGTCGATATATATATATATATATAGATGAAGAGGAAGAGGAAGAAAAGTGAGAGACAAACGTGTAGGAAAAGCTTGGGGAGCAAGTAAGCAGAGATTGTGAAGTGAGAGAAGGAATTAGAGAGGGTACTCGTCTTTGACTCGTATTGCAACTTGCAAAAAAAGAACACAATAATACTGATTGCGCGTTGCTTTCTGTCCAAGTGACACAGAAATTGTCTTCATGTATTGAAGACGAAAAAAAGAAAAAAGGAAAATTGTGTGAAAATTGGAAAAGTTGGTCGGCAAGATTTTGTTTTTTCAGAAGGCTGGTGAAATAATGAAATATTGGATAAGATTTAGGTCTCGTTCATTTTGTCGATTTGAGTTTAAAATTTAAATTTTATTACGGTAAAAAACTTTAAAAAAAGACATTTTTTTTATTCTATAATAAAAAATTCTCACATAAAATTAAATATCAACTCGAATTAAAAATTTAAATCAATAAAATAAACGAAATTTTAACCTATTAAAGGTGGGGTTGACTTGCGAAGCATAAGAACTAAAATTTCATTTTGAAAGTTCGTTGGCAACTTGGCATAGACAATATGCCTTTTTCAGTAAAGACGGTGATTGGAAACTTCTCTCCTTCGTACCCACTCGCTTTAATTTAGAAGATGTTTGGTAGATGGATTCGTTCCCTGATTCGAATTATGATTCATGATTTGCTACAGTATTTTAAGCATTTGAACCCACTAGAGATTGTGATATTAGGGCGTATTCAGTTGCATTTTTAAGTTAGGGTGGCTTGAGTATAAATTTTGAGTTATAATTTGAGTTGAAGTTATAACTTGAGTTTGTATTTGGTTGTGGACATTTGAGTTGGAAGCGTTTGGTTGGTAGATTCGTGATATGATTCAAATCATGGTTCGTGGTTCGCTACAATATTTTATGGTTTGTGTTGAGAATTTATTTGAGTTTGTGTTTGGGTGAGTAAAAAATTGAGTTTGAATTTAGATAGTATTCTTAAAAAAAATTCAATGACGATAGACAATTTTAATAGGGTATATGGATGAGATTTTGTTCATCTCTTCATTGTGAACACATAAAAAAAATCAATCGGAGTTAAAACGAAAAAGTTATAATATTTTAAAATTTATGGGAGGAAAGAGAAGATATTATTTATTAATTTTTTTTTTAAAATTATGGTTGAACTTGAATAAATGTGAATCAAGGGCTAGGGCTGAACTCAAAAAATCCGGCAGAACTTAAGTCTTTACTTGAGTCTTCAGTTGAGTACGTGTCTGACGAACACCAACTTGGACTCACTTCCTAACTTGAGTTTGGTACGAGGATTCAAACCATGATGATTCTAATCATGATTTTAGAACCAGAACCATGATTCATGATTTTGGGTTCAAATCATGATTCTGAAACTATGATTCAGAATCAGGAGTTTGAATCACCTTCAATCAAGGGGAGGGTGGTTTTAGAATCATGAGTGATTCTGGTTTAAAAGATCACATCAGATTCTGAATCATGATTCAGAATCATCCAAACCAAACACTGATTTAAAATCATGATTCTGGATCCATCTACCAAACGAACCCCAAGTCTTTACTTGAGTCTTCACTTGAGTACGTGCCTGACGAACACCAACGTAGACTCACTTTCCAACTTGAGTTTGGTTTTCTTGAGTTTAAGGAGCAAATGAGCACACCCTATATTATCTTCACTTATTTGGACTTTTTCGATACAATGTCATATTATAACGTGTCAACCCTAAATTTTGAGATTTGAGACGGAGAAAAGTTACTCTTTAATAAAATGCTATTTTTATTATTAACTTTGACATTTAGACGTTATTAGTTGATATATTGACTTTTTCATTGAATAATATTAATCATTTTTTTTTTTCAAATTATTTAAAAATAAAAAAATTTAATTGTAATAGTTATAAACTTTTTGATATAGTATTGAAATAACATTCTACCTTATGATTCAAAATAGAATAGTGTATAGCATATTTCATTTTTTACTTTTTTTGTGTGCCAAATAGAACATTTACAATTGCTTTTACATTAGAGATGTCTAAGGGCATATTTGGTGCACCATATTATATTGTATTGTATAATTTTTTATATAAAAACGGTGTTTAGTTTGTAGTAAATTATATTTATACTATGTTTACTATCATAATGTATTTATGTATTAGTTTGTAATCATATAAAATTTAAGTCTAATCACAACGTAACTCGGCTTCAATCTCAATCTAAACCCAACATTAGGAGCAGGCAATGAAGAAGGTAGAGTTGTTTAATAGGGATATTTTTGCAATTTTTTTTAAAATGGGTCAAATTATAATTTTCTATTAAGGGGTAAAATTATAATTTAGAAAAAGTTTTGGTGGTCAAAATATAATTTTAAAAAGTTAAGGAGTCAAAATATAATTTTTAAAAATTTGAGGGGTCAATATAATTTTTAAAAATTAAGGACTAAGTGTAACTTTTGAAAAATATAGACCCAACATCGCTTTGATTCCGAAATTTAACCTCATCATCAATCCTAAAACCCGATCACGACTCTTGGTATTTGTTAAATATTTTATATGTTTTATAAAGTTAAATTGCATAATACGATCTAATGCATAGATTTTTACCCGTATTAAATATCACATTATGTATTGTATTAAATTTAAATTTCATTTATACAATGTATGAAATGTTGCCAAAACATTGTATTATTCTTCAATAATACAATATAAAGTGCTTATACAGTATACCAAACACGCCCTAAAATCACTTCTATTCATAGCAATCATATACGAAAATCACAATCTCTTTTTGTTCGAATAATGTAGAAGATGGATCTATTGAGGGTTTTTTTTTTTTATTTATAGAGGATTTTAATTTAAATGATTGGTAAAGTGTGGATTCAATTGATGAAGGAAATACGAGGGAAAAAAACAGTAAAAGAAAGACATGAGAGCTGCAAAATTGTGGTTCTTGTTGCACTTTTATTCCCATAAGACAACTACATCATCATTCATACATTTTAATCCAAAGGCTTAAATTTTATTATCCATTGATCAGGAAAAGGTACCATTCCTATTTTATTTTTATTTTTAAGAAAACTATATGTGCATTCTTTGTATTGGCACTTTTTCTTTACATGAAAATCAAGCTTCATAAAATTTTCAAACAAAAATTCTGGAATATTATGATTTTCATTTTGTCATTTCAAGTAGATAAGTTCATACAAATTTAAAAAAAAAAAATAAAAATCCAGTAAAAAATTGAAAATAAATACCAAAAAAGGAAAAAAAAAACTAAATGAAGGTGTATATATAAAAATTATAATAGGGACATATGAAAGCCAATAAAATATTGGAAGTAGCTAGTCAACATTTTGCAATCCTTCCATTATTTGTGTGGGGTCCTTTTCGTGATAAAATCCGCAAAATCCAATGACCTTGTTGGAAACCCAAGCTCGAATGCTCCACGCAGTGCCGTGGAACGTTTCTTTTATCTCTCTCTCATTAGCCTCTCAATTCCCTCCATTATGTCCTCCTTTTTAACCATTTCTAATAAATCCTCTACAACTCTATAGCCTACATTGAGAATGTGGCAATTTGGGCCATAATACGAAAAATAATTCAGAATCTGTACGAAGTTATTGAGTTTAAGTTTACTATAAATGAATTTGAATTATAAACAATTTGAGTTAGGGTTAACCACTTAATATGAAGTGACACAAATTAACACAATTTATTATATGTGTCATCTGTAATTTAATACTATGTAATATAATATGAAAGTTTATATGACATATTAAATACAAATGATATGAATTTTAATATTTGTAGGTAAAATTCATTTATTTTTCTGAAAAAAAGATAAATTAATTAATAAACATGTTAAATCTGTCGTGATCGTGTTAAATAAATCATTATTATATTAATTATTTATTTAATATAATAATTTAAACTGATTATGTAGGTTGACACGATTAATAAGTGAATCGTATTTATGTTGATATTTTTGACACGTTTAATAAACGAGTAGTGTTTAAATTGATATTTTTTAACACGATTAATAAACAGATTGAAACGAACACGACTCACTAACACAAATTGTCATTAACGAGAGGCCTGTGAAGTGCCACGTGAAGGTCCACTACGTCTTCTTTTGAGATGACGAGGGAAGGGAACGGAAAGTGAGAAGAGAGGAGGGAATGGCGAGGGTAGTATGGTAATTCCGAGAGGCAAGGCAGGGATGGAGATGTCCTTGCCTAGAACCCGTAAACACAGAGATCTCATCACCCATGTTTTTTCTCCTAAGCTTCAGAGAAAATAATAATGAAAAAGTCAATACAAGAAGCAAAAAACATATATTAAATTATATTAAATTCACAGCTTACTAACTTACCACAGAAACTAGTCATCACCTGAGTTAGGAAGGGTTCGTTTGGTTGGAGGATTCAAATCATGTGATTTGAACTATTTTTGATTTACGTGTATTTTTTGTGAGAGAAAATACTGTAACGAACCACGAATCATGATTCGAATCAGGGAATGAATCACTCTACCAAACGCTCCCGAAACTTTCCTGTTTGTTTGACGAGAAAGTCACTGTTTTAATTTTTGCGGGAATTTTAGCCTCCTGGCGGTAGATTCATAAACAATTTTTCTTTTAAATCTTCGTTGAGAAAAACATTCTTAACAGCTAATTAGTGTAATGGCCAATTATAATTTGTTGCTAAGGATAATATTACCTGAATGGAATTTATTTTGATAACTGGGATAAATGCTTTTTTGATAATTCACCTCATATATTTGAGTAAAACTCTTAACCACAAATTTCGTTTTATATCTCTCTATACTTCTATTATTTTTGCACTTTATTGTAAATACTTTAAAGTTATATATGATTTTCTATGAAATTTTTTTTTAACACAATAGAAAAAATTAGATTTAAATTTTTACGAGAGTTTTTTATTATTTTTTACTGCAGTAAATTAGAATTACATTTATTTTTATTAATATTCATTAATTATCTTCGCCACGTGTAACACTCTGGCTGCTTCCAAACCTCAACAACTGAACTCTCTTTCTCTCTCTTCAACTCTCTCTCTCTCCCCAAAACACAGTACTTTAGTTCATCAAAATTGAAAAGAAAAATGCGATTAATTGCATCAAAAGTGACCAGTGCCATTCCTTCTCTTCCAAGTTCCCATGTAAGAAACAAATTAGTATTTTATTAAAAAAAAATACTTGTTTTTGTTTAGTTTTAATTTCTTTTTTCTAAATTATTGTTTATTTTGCAAAGTGCAGGCCTTTAATGACTCGAGAAATTGGGCACCAAAAAATTATGGGAATTTGGAAATGCGAAAAGCTGGGAAACTTTGGAGTTCTGTTAAGGGAAATGGCAATGCTTCCGTGGAACTTGATGTCCCATTCCCTCGAGACTACTCCGAGCTTCTTGAACAAGTAAATAAATATTACTACTTGCATTTCATCTTTTTAAGCTATTTTAAACAAATTCTTTATTAGTTTAATTCACAATCACGAATTATCAAAATCACGAATTTAGTTGATAATTCTTAGCTTCTCATTATCAATATGGTATTATAAGTTCCTTCAAATGATTAGCAAAAAAAAAATAAAAAAAGAAAAGTGTGAAGAAGTTGTTTTATTATTAATTTGTGGTTAGAACAGATTAAACTTTTTTTTTTTTTTTGATGAATAAGAATAACGGATTTAACTTGGTATGCTTGGTCGTTGGATCATACTTAGAGAATGTTACACACATTGTACGCTTATAAGCGTTGCAAACATGGTGTTAAGAGAAGGGTTATTTTATTTTATTTTTTTCTCCTCGAACTAAATAAAACGTGCTACAATACACTAGTTTTGATTTTTTTTTTCTTTTTTTTTACGTCAGTAATAACTTTAAGAATTAGTATAATTACCACAAACGATTACAGCATTATCATAACTACTGATAATTTCTATAATAATTAGAAGAATAGGACATGACAATGACTTAAAATAATCAAAACCGGTATTATCCTCGAAATAGATTTTCATTATATACTATAGAAAATATTTTCCCTTAATAGAATGACTATTTGGAATGGAGAATGACTAAGAACATCGAAGAAAGTTTCTCGGTAGAAAAGCTTTAAATGCAGAACAGATACCAACAAAACAAAAAAAAAAAAAGATCATAGGGGCACATAAAACAGAGTGAGCAATGCATGTTCATTAGATTATGTTTGACAAGCTGTTTTACAAAGAAGTTTGGTGCATCTCCAACAAGCACGTTTTAAAAGAGTATTGTCTTGTCTTCTCATTTTGCAGTTCTCTTAACCGATTTCAAGGTTCAGGAATGAACTCTCTGGTTTGTTGTTTTGTTGAAGCTCTAGCATTTGGCAAAACTGTTTACTCATTGCTGTTTGTTATTGATAGGCCAGAAAAGCAACTTCATTGGCTTTGAAAGATAGCAGACAGTTGATGGTGAGTAGGTATATTACTTGGTACTTGTAGGAGTTGTTGTTTTACCCTACCGGTACGAACTGTTATTTTAATTATTAGATTAGTTTTTCAATGGTTTGTTGTGAGTGTTCACATTACAAATTTACATCACGTGACACAGAACTGCTCCTACATACAAATCAGAACATTGCAAAGCTAATCCAACGGCTAAAGTTCCTATTGGTAGGGTTAAATAGCAGTTCCTATCATAAAAGTCCCCTTAGAAATGTAAAGTGCTTTTATTAGCAATATAAAGTGCTTTTATTAGCAATGAGCTTTTGACTCAAAAGTTTTTATTACAGGAGATTGAATTCCCAACTGCTGGGCTCCAATCTGTACCAGGTTTGTACATGTGAATTATGATACCTCTATCTTGATTCTCGGTCGTCAGATTGTATTGGATCTCACTTTATGGAAGGCTCATTGCAGGTGATGGTGAAGGAGGAATAGAAATGACTGAAAGCATGGTGTTAATCCGCGACTTTTGTGACGGCTTCATAGATTCAGAGAAAGCTAGGCGAACCAGAATAGTATTTTTTCTTGATTCATAAAAATATTCTTTCTTCCCCTTCCCTTGATAGTTTCAATATGTTTACTGGTGTCTATAATTTTGTTGACATACAGTATCTAAGGCTAGGGGCTACAAAAGACAATCCAAAACACAGATTAGTTCAGATTAAACTGATCTAAAATAACTCGTGGTTCACCAAGTCCTTTTATGCTAATTTAGTAATAGAATAAATTCCTCTTTATAACATTTGTTTTACTGAATTGTGAAGCTTGTTCCAAAAAAAATGTTAACCAATTATTTAATAGTTTAGTAAAGGCTTAATGGTGAATTTGTTTAAATAGCATGTTTGTAGACTGATATCAATCAGAGTCGTTCATTTAAGTTTCTAGACTGAATTGTGATTTAATAGCATGCATTGACAAATATAGTTTCTTTTGCAACTTTTCAGATTCATGGATAAACTTGGATCTTATGAAAAAAAAATTGTTTGAATTTTGTAGTTTTGTTTATATTTATATGTAACATTAGAAGCAATAATAGGGGAGGAAACGTATAGATAGGTTGGACTCTTTATATAGTTACCTGACTTATTATCCTGTAGCCAATCTAATGGTTTTATCATCTCCCTTATAGCTATTTTGCAACTTAATGAAAAATTTCCCATGGAACTGCCAGTTTTTCCCCGAGGCCAATGAGGTTACATTTGCAAGAAATTCAGCCTTTGGAGGAGCTTCCTTCAAGTTAGACTACTTGACGAAGCCATCGTTCTTCGAAGACTTTGGTTTCGTTGAAAAGGTGAAAATGAAAGACCGCGTGAAGCCAGAAGACGAACTATTCCTTGTTGCCTATCCGTACTTTAATGTCAATGGTAGTTCCAGAACTCCCATCTAATACCAATAACCTAGTATTGGATACCAATGTCTGTTGTTATCTCATGATTCAGAAATGCTTGTTGTTGAAGAGCTCTATAAAGAAGCAGTCACGAACACAACCCGGAAACTAATTATATTCAATGGAGAACTCGACCGTATTAGATCTGGATGTATCCTTTTCCTGTTTAGAAATGTTTGACAAGTCCATGAATTCAATTTTACTTGGTTATTTTAGGAGCTGGAGCTATAGATGCTAAGATTAAACAGTGTTTACATCCCGGTCATTGTAGAGTTTTATCAAAATTGTCCAATAATTTTCATTTATTGTGCTTGGTGTTGGTTCATATGTCTCTTCATTCTTCTCATCTATAACAAATAATTTTCATATGCATGACCCTCACACATGCCACCAACTCATAAATATTTGTACTAATAGCTAGCTTCAAGTATGTGTGTCAGTTTGTTAGCTCCAATCTTTCAAGTGAAATAGGAACTTTTCTGAACTGATATGATATGGTCTGATACAACTTGTAGATTAGTAGTTTAATAGGAAGATTTTAGGGTAAGACACGTTGTTTTATCCTACCGATAAGGAAAGTTTTTAACTGTACGCCCATAAGTCAGACACTTAAAATTTAATTAAATGGCTAAAAAAAAACTTCATCCTATCGATAGGGCAAAGCAACGTTCCCTAACGTAAAAAGCTCTCAGTTTAATAGTTGATTTGCAAAAGTACGAAGCAATAACGGTGTTTGAATTACGTTTTCAAAGTGTAGCATCAAGAAGCTCCAGACTCATTCCCTCTTGGTATCCTCTGAATCCATTGTTTGTTATGTTAGCTTTAAACAATGATGTTTTTCTTGAATAAAATTAATAAGATTACCCTCCATTCTTCTACCCAAAGCTGGCTGCTCTGTCCAAGACCCTATTTCCTCTGATGGAGACTGTATATTATATTCACAATTTTAAGGGAGCCAAAGGGGGAACACTTTTCAGGTCTGCTATCTTAAATACGTTTGTTTAAAATCCATGCTTGTTGGTTTTATGAATTTAAAATGTCCTCTACAAAATATTCAATATGTAATTATGTGTTAACTATTTTATCCTATTCTTTTCTTTATTATTGATATGTGTCGAACATTCAGGAGCTACCCAGGTCCATGGAAAGTCCTTAGAAAAGTGAGGAACAAATACATTTGCCTTCATCAGCAAGAAACCATGCCTTCCTTGAAGGAAGTTGCCTTGAATATCCTTCCATCAGCTTGAGATTTACTTGCATAATTCATATGGTGAGCAATGTTTGATCCTTATTATTCAAGACGTTACAAATTCTTGTATGATCTCTCATATTTTTGACCTTCCATAGTCCAGTACCTCTTCGCTTTTAGCGCTTTGATGTTCAATTAATACCACTTAGTGTGGTGGCCTAGAGGTAATGGAGTACCGTGGTGGGCTTGTGATCACAAATAGGGGCTGGGTTACTCCTAACTAAGGGTATTAAATGTGAAGACTTGGGGCTGCATCCCAACATACTATCACTGTTAACACATTCGGTGGGGTTGAGGTGATGCGCTCCTCATTTGAGAGATAGGCCCTCATGTAGGGCATTCAGTAAATATTTCTGTTAGTGTCTGGGACCCCTTTGGTGATGCTCAGAGGGAGGATGTTGACACTAGTAGCCTTTTCCGGAATTTTCTGCAGCAAAAAAAAAAAAA